GTTTTGCTAAGAGTAGAAAGAAGAGACAGTGGCAGAGGTGGCAACATGAAAATGGAAAAGGAAGTCATAATTGTCCCCTCCCAAATACCCATCTGCAAATGCTGTTAGCTGATTTCCTACCAAATATATGTCGCAGGAGTCCTGTTCACTCAGAAGAAACCCAAGTTTTAGCTCGACAAGCAGATTATCTGATAAGAAAATCCCATTCAAAAATACTTTGTCTATCATTGCTTTGTGTCCAATTCATGCAAGCTTGAGCAGTTTCAGAAAGGCAGCACTAGAGAAATAGATCTATGTAATGAAATAATGCCTGCAATTCAATTGGTACCACTTTTAATAAAACATTTCAAAAGGGTAGTATGCTTTACATATGTTCAGGTCATCTTATCTCTGGGGTTTCTTGCATAACTGCATGAAGGAAAACTTGTTATCTGACTAAATAAGGGATTTGGTTCTTGGAAAACCCCAGCAGACTGATATGTGCAAATAACAGCAAGAAAGGTTGTGTTCCTACATCTGGTAGGTTTATTGAAGTGTAGAATTGAAGTGTTGAGTCTATTTTAAGATATTTTAGTTACATGTTTCTTCTAAATAAACTGATGTCCTCCAGTTCAGTTTTTTTTGAAGTGAAGTTTAACACTTTTTCTATTTTGCAAGAGGTATACATAGGTTTTCTAACCTTTTGAACAACTAAGAACTGTAAAAGCTGACTTGCAGTCCAATCTTTTGTAATATCTTTACTGCTATGATTTTGTTACCCTGCCTTCAACAGGAATACAGATCTCCACACAGAAGGAATTAATTCTCTTTAATACTTTTATTGCACTGGAATACGATGATTAGCATGTATGTTAATTGAAATGCATTCACCATAGCATTGTTATGTAATATAATTTACTTTGAATGTAAGTATCAAAACATTTTTTGCACCATTTTGGAGGACAGATCAGATGGACCACTGGTATTCTCACTTACAGCAGCAACCCCTCTTTCTATAGATATTCATATCAGCCACTGTTGCAGAAGTCTCCTCTGGTTTTTATAACTCATTGATTACACTTCAGTCCACCAAAGCTGAGACATCTTTGTAGAAAAATCTTCACTTGCCTTTGATTATCTTTCACCTTCTGGAACATGAGCAGCAGGAGAGAGGGAAGATATCTGCTGTGCCCAGCTTCCCAGCGGCCCCAGGATGTCCACCAAAGAAGACATTTAGTGACATGCTGAGTCAGTTTTACAGACGACCTCTGCTCCTGTTAAATTCAGTTTTGTTAGCTGTTCAGCTGTCCATACTCCTTTTGCTTCAGTCTGCCATTGTCTCAGTTACCTTGTATTAATTCTTTTGTAGGAAGCTTTTGGACACTGAGGATGAGCTCTCTGACATCCAGTCAGATTCGGTCCCGCTGGAAGTGCGGGACTGGTTAGCTTCTACATTCACGAGGGAAATGGGAATAGTGAAGAGGAGACCTGAAGAAAAGCCCAAATTCCGGAGCATTGTGCACGCTGTACAGGCTGGGATTTTTGTAGAAAGGTGAGACCTTTGTTTTCTTATTACAGCAAGTACTGCATTTAACCACAGTGTCTGTTGTTGAAGACCCTTTAAGCACTGGGATGAACCTGAAGCAAATCTTTGAGCCAGAATTTAGGTTTCAATTTCTGCAATAGCCCCATTTTTCTATACAGAAACCTGGATGAAACCTATAAATTTGTAATGAAATCTCCTGGATTTTGGAAAATTCTGGCAATTAAGTTTATGGCTTTGAAGCTTCTACACTAAAATGTACCAAAGACTGCACTAACATAAAAGAGTAATATACCAGCAGAGGGGCTTTTCTCATATAAAAAGATTTACTTTATCTTTGGGATCAGACCCTTAAATAGCTGCATGTTATTTCACAAACTGTGAAAGATGAATTAAAAAAAGAGAGAAATTGTTCCAGTAGTTTTTAAAGTGGTATTCCTTAATATTTTATTTGTTTTTTCAGGATGTACCGAAGAACTTCTAGCATGGTTGGTTTGGCTTACCCAGCAGAAGTGATAGTAACATTTAAGGTGAAATAAGTTTAGTCATTGTGGAATTTGAATGTATTTGTACTTACGCTTAGTGACTTTTAGGGTGAAGTGAATGTATTTTTCTACTGAATATACCCTAGCCGTAGTTAGTACTACAGAGCTGAGAACACAGAACAGAGAAATTAATAGTTAAAAATTCACAGATAGCATATGATTCTGTTTAGTGTTTCACTGAGTAGTTGTGATTTCATTTAAATGTTATTAGAGCAATAGGATAAATTTTGTATAGAAATTTTTACAGAAATGCAAGACATGGTTTTATAAGCTCCCAGTGGTATGGTAATCAGTGTCTCAGACAGCAGCATTTGTTTCCTTTTTAGGAAAGAAAAAGGAGAAGTAGTATGAGGATAGAGCTAACAAGAGAAGCTGCAGCTTATGGAACAAGTACAGTATTTGCTGTGAATTTAAGGCATTACTGTAGTTCACCCAAAAGGCTATCTTTTATAGCAGTAAAGTTCCTATGGCTATGTATGCAATTAAAGAATGGTATTTCTTGAGAGTATAGTACCTCACCTTTTCCCCTGAAAGTCAAACACTGTTACATTATTCTCAAATTGCTGTATGGCTATAGTGTTAATGACGTTGCATAATAGCCTATTGAAAGGCTGGGTATTCACATTAGCTCCATGAGGTTCTATAGACAATTTGTATGCAGAAAGTTAAATTAGAAAGATTAAGGCCTTTGATTCAAAGCATACAAAGTTGAATAGGTCATGTTACAAGTATTTTATTCGTAACTGGCACAACTATTTTTGTCATTAATATTGAAGTAGTCATTAATGTGTTACCTACAGTAGGAGTTTGAAAGAGTTGGACAATAAAACACCAAACTCTCCCCCTTCCCTCCAAAAACCCCCAAAATATCTTTTCCAGTGATTAACTGGAAATCTACTTAAACAGATGGAAATTTTATTTTTTTTTTCTTTTCCCCTCATCTACAGGATGTTGATAAATGGTCTTTTGACGTATTTGCCCTAAATGAAGCAAGTGGAGAGCACAGTCTGAAATTTATGATGTATGAGCTGTTTACCCGATATGACCTTTTGAGCCGTTTCAAGGTCAGAAACTAGCCACAAATAAAAATATGTATGCAAAAATAAGTATGTCAAATTTAAAATACAAGAAAGCCAGCATATGTTTGAAATGTTTTTTATTGTGCAGTGCAGTGCAGAATTTCAAAGAATATGGCAAATTGAACACTGTAATATGCCAATAGTTCTACCAAATGGAACTTCACTCAAAGCATACCAATTTGTCTGCAACCCAAAAAATTGGAAAGCTATGTAGACCCATGTCAAGTCGGTTTGGGATGGGATGTTGCTAGTGAGCAGCTAAAAGCTGTAAGCATTAAATAAACAGGTTATGTATGCAACCTATTTACTCAGCAATACTGAATCAGTGTCCTAGCTTCATGGAAAAAAGATTCCTAATAAGGCAGAAAACTGTAGTTAGTCTTAAGTACTTTTTTCATGGGGTAGCCCATAGTATGTTGCCCACCACTGTTCAGGAGTTTCAGCTGAACCTTCCTCTCCTAACCAACTTGGGGGATATATAAACAGAAGGCTGCTTTTCCATGGTGTTTGCAGGGTGTTGCAATACAATATGGAGTACTTATAACCCACTTGGAAAAGCTGAGATTAAAAACGGATCGACATGCCAAATTTATCATTATAATAGTACCAAATTAAAGTTTCATTATAGTTTCAAAATCCCTCCACTGCAAAACTCTATGCTCCTTTCAAAGAGGCTGCCTCACCCTGAAGTTGGTTTGAATATTTTAATTTTAACTGATAACCCAGACTCAGCTTTTCCTGTCAAGCTTTTCCCTTCAATCTTTGGGTGCTTGAAGTCAGAACCACACCAGGGCTACCATTAACACCACAGTCAGAAAGTACACAGTGTTACTGGCTCAGTAGGCTTAAGCCCATTCTCTGTCCCACTGTTTAACTTGCAGGGCTTTTAAATAAAGAAAAAAAATCTTAAGGAAAGTGTCATTTCATTATATGGGAAAATAAATGGGACTAGATAGTACCTGTGCTTCATACATTGCCTGCAGGAAGAGAAGGAAGGAAAGTCATGCTATTAGATTCAAGGAAACCTTGTCACAGGCAAGGTAAAACTGGTGAAGAAAAGGAGATAATCCTATTGTTAGAGTCCTATCTGTCTTGCCTTTATTATATGAGCAATCTATGCATTCCTGGTACAGACAGACAGACATGAATGTCTTGAAAACTATTTGGTTGATAGCTCTGCAGTCTCTTATACACTAACTACATGCTGTGCATGGTGTATGTAGAGTGATACAACATCTACAAGAATTGGGTGAAGACTCCCTAATGCATGTAAGATACTAGAACTTACCATTTTAAATTTTTCTTCTGTTGTTTGTTAACTAAATTCTATGGTATATTTATTTGTGGTTTATTTATTGCATGATTAGTTGTGCAGCTGTTGCAGGAAAAAACCACTTATTTTAATATTTGCTTCCCCCCAGATCCCTGTTCCCAATCTTATTTCATTTGCTGAAGCTCTTGAAGTTGGTTACAGCAAATACAAAAATCCGTATCACAATTTGATCCATGCAGCTGATGTTACTCAAACTGTGCATTACATAATGATTCACACTGGTATCATGGTAAGAAATACTGCAAAGTTCAATTTACTTGTTTTCTCAGACTATGCTGTATGTGTGTCTTTTCTTAAGGAAAAAGCTCCCTTGAAGATTGTGCAGAGATAGATTCCAAACTACCATGCAGGCTGTGAACCTTATGTCATTTTAACAGTTATTCCAGGCTGAAACTCTCCTGATGTGGAGGAAAAAAGGAGGAAAAAGTCTTCCTTAAATCTTTTTTTTTGCTTTTAATTGCCTGGGCTTGGGTATTATATATCATACTAAAAGAGATACATTTGCAGGAGTGGGCAGGTGAGAATTTTCGCTTCCACATCAGAGCCTGGGAGGTGTGATCAGGCAAGGAAGCTTTAGTATCTGCTGAGGTCCTGGCCATTGAAAGATATACTGAATCAGTACAGGCTTACACAAATACTCTGCAGTTGCTTTTTCTTTTAGTTTATAACCTTATTTAGGACTGGTCTTGCATACTGTATGTGCCTATAGTAGGCAGGAGATTGCATTTGCCTTGCACTTTTGCAATATCCCAATATTTTTTAGTATTTGCTTTGGGAACTGAGGTCAATCTGTGAAAGCATTTTTACTCTAAACACTTATCTTGGATTTAATACCAGCAGTGGGAGTCTCCTCACTATCAACTTGCTAGATAAAAGTAAATTCTGACTGAAAGAAAATGGACATCTCTGTCAATGGCCTTTTGATGATTTGTCTTCACTATGAACACACTTGTTTCAAAAACAAAAAAGGTGGGAAGTGATAGTGTCTGATTGCTGATTGCAGAGCCATGAAACAATTCCATAAGACTTTTGGAAAGGAAAATTTTAGGGCTGACTATAGATGTTTGCATTCAAATATATACACAATAAATGACAATCATTCGCTTATGTTAAGACTTTTCTCACTGAAAGCTTTGCCTTTGGCTTCGATGGAGGCAAGAATAAGTCCCTAAGCATTGCAGAGTTTGATTCTAGTGTTCAGAGAAAGTGTTTTGCTTCTAAGCATCAAGTTTTTAAAGCTACATTTTAACACAAGCACTACTTGCAGAATGAAGTCTTCACCAGCCAAGATTCCTTTTCACATTGTGATATTTTCTTGACAAAGGACTTCCATATCAGACTGAAGCATAGGCTAGACTGCTCTTGCCAAGATGACTCCAAACCAAAGTTGTTGCATACAATGTTCACCTATCAAAATAATATTATAATAAAAGAAAAAGCTTGAAGACATTAGATTATGATTCCTACCCTACCCTTGTCTTCTACTGTAAGATCAACTGCCAGTGTTAAGTGATGTCAGACATGTCTTTGTTGCGTGCATACACCTGGATCAACAGCTTAAGAGGGAGGAAAATACCTTTGTTGTATTCTACATTATGAACATTGCTTTGGCCTGTCGTAACTGTGCCACTCCACCTTTCAAAAACGATGATATCATCCAGATTTTGTTTGTGGTGCCAGGATAAGGTTCCAGCTTCTAGAGCTATCCTAGTCAATTTGGCATGTTTAGCCGTTGATTAAACAACTTTGCAACACACTTTGTGTATCTCAGAACACTGAATGAAAGAACCTGTTTTGTATTTGAGTATCTGCCTTTCCACTGGGTGCACACAAGAATGAGAAAGGCCTCTCCAACTCAAGCTTTGCAATATCAGCATCTTAACCTTGTAACTGCACTTTGATATGATATGGACAACCATTTGCAGAAAAGCTTAGACTTCATTGCTGTTACTTTGCTGTAAAACCTCAATAATGTTGCAACACTGCTACAAAATATTCCTATAAAATTAGGCCAGGTTTTAAATAGTCGCATTTAAATTGCTAAATTATGATATTGGAAAGTTCTTGGAAAGATATCTAACTAGGACAACACTTAGTCAAGAGTGCCTTCAAACAGACGTAACTTGCCAGGCAGAAGGAACGTTTATAGAAATCAATGTTTGAAAGAAGGCCTAGTGATTCTGCAGCTTGCAAAGTATTTCTGTCCCAAATGCCATTTGTAGTTTGAGAATGCATCAGTATCATGTGAATGTTCTCTTTAAGTTGTTGGGGTTTTTTCCTGTTGCCTGGTTAACCCTGCAGAAGCCTATTCAATAACAATTTAAAGTTTGCTTCTCAAGCTAATAGTTTCAGAGTATGTCTGTTGTAATGCCTCTTTTAACTCTGCTGTACCTTCTAACACATACCTGGATTGGAGTCAATTTGATGCAATTCTATATCAAATTCCTGTGTGCTTTTTACAGACTGGCATGCAATTTGAAGTTCTTGTGCCTTCATTGTATCTTAAGGAACTGATACTGACTCCCAAATCTTGCAAAGAATTGCTGTCTTCCTTGTTCACTTCTGAAAGACATACTGAAGCAAATGTTTCAAAAAGCTGGGGTTTAGAAAATCCTTTTCACAGTTCCTGTTGTTGAGGTGATACATTTTGTATCTTTCATAGGCACCTTGAAAATAGCCATATTTCAGCATTTGCCAAAAACTTTGGCTAATCAGAGTTTATGCTTCTCTGCAAACCCTTAGAGATTCCAGTGAAGAACAGCGAATATTCAGAGTCGCATTTAAAGAAATAAAATTATAACTGTATTTTCCAAAAGTTACTGTCTGTCTTTAGAAACAAGATCCAGCCACCTCAGATCAATGTGTTAGAAAGTTAGATATCACAGATGGCACACAATCTATTAACCTTCCCGAGAGATTAAATCCCAGATGATACGACTGAAATATATAACTCAAGCTTGCATTTATGAAGTCTTCATCTTTATAAAGATTTAAGAATCCAAGTCCCAGGGAATATATCTTGTAAGGAACTTTTGAGTCATCGATCATCTTCCCACCATCCCTTTTCTCCTCCCACGTACCTGTATTGCTCAAACTAAAGAAAAAAATGTCTTTACTGTCAATAAGTGCATTGTGAGATTCCCTTTCTTACTCCTTTTTTAAATCCATCATTGTTTAAAAAAATAGTTTGAACTAAAGCTCATGAAAAGTTGAAATGTATCTATTTACTTATAAGCAATTTATAATACTGGTAAACATGTCTCAAAAGAAGAGCTCTTTTCCAATAGGTGTTACACCTCCATGGCATAGTACCTTCCAGGAGGAAAGCAGGTTCCAGCTCTTCACAGTCTTGCAGACCTCCAGATACCTGCTTTTCCCTCCCCTTTGAGAAAAACTCTTGTTAACTGTTTCTCTAAAAGCTTTCTCCTGCTTCCTTTGAAATTCTTCAGCTAAAGTAGTTCTCTGATTGTCTGATTCGAATACTGATCTGAATTTCGACTGTGCAGCTCCAGTCTCTAGAATATTTGCTGTCATATAGTACTGTATGAAGTTTCTGTGTAGCCCATAGATACTGTTTGTAAGGAGTGCTCTTCTACTTATAAACACATTATCTAGCAACTATTTTGTTTACTAAAAAAGCTGATCTTTGAGAAGGTGTCTTAAAGAAAAAGTTTCTGTTTAGCTTTAGTTACTAACAATTTCTGCGTTTCTATTCTATTTGGTAAGTTGAAAACATTGTGAAAGGCAAAACTGGTCATGGCCTGGTTTCTTGTGACACAAATACGATGAAGGTCATTGTTTCCATTTTTAGAACTGCTTACAGTACATTCTCATTCCTCTGTTGTGACCTTTTTTTAATCTGTGTTGCTTCACCACCAGCCAGTACTTGTTGTTCCTCACCAGACTTATTTTGTCACTGAATGACCTATTTCATTATTCTCACATTACTTATGAATGTTGACTGTTTCCTTTCTTCTTCTTTGAAAGAAGTACTACTATTGGCAGCTTATACTACTTCTGGCAGCTTATACATCTTATATCCATTCATACACATATATGTGCATATATGGGTGGATAAGGATGAGCTCTTTAGTACAGAAGCTTAATTCTACACTAAAAATCTGAAATATATGTGGAAATGCTTGACTGGCATCTGACTTAATCAGTCCTATGACTGCGGGGGTTAATTATCATATGATTTTTCTGCCCCCATTTTTAGATGGACTAAATTTTCTCCTCAAGGATGATTTATCATTCAAGAAATAGAACTTGAAAGATAAAATAACAGAGGTTATTTTACAAACTGAGTGATATAGAACAGCATCAATTAGCAAGAGGTATAAAAGTGCACAAAACTCTAGGGTCTGCATTATATCATATACGTGACCTGTATTACCTTTTGTTCTGTGTGACTGTATACTAGCCTTATGCACCCTTTTTTTGCTTTAGTACAAAGTATGATAAAATTTAGAACAGAAAAATCTCCCATGGACCTAATTTTAGTGCTATGTACACTGGTAAAGTATAGTTAATGCTGATGTTGTACCTAGAATTTATTACGAACTGTATGTATTTTCACTAAAAGACAAATTATACCTTTAAATTCATATCAAGTTTTTAGATTAATATACCATAATTTGGCAAGTGCCATATATGGGCTAGCAGATTAGATACTTCCTACTCAAAACAGCTACAAAGTATGCCATGTAATTATCTTAATAACTTCTTATATTTTTGGCTGCCCATATTTTCTTTGCTAGTGACCATAAGGATGTTAACTTGGTCCTAGAGAAATTATAGTAAATACAAGGAGTTATTTTACTGTGTAATACTGAAGTGTTATGGATACATAGCTACCTGGCATAAGACAAGAATAAAGTTTACTTAAGTTGAAGGTAATGCAAAACATTTCCAGTACTGTAGTGTTTAATCTGAGTTAGGCTATTATAGAAAATATGACTAAGATTTGTTTTTCGTTTACCAGCACTGGCTCACAGAACTGGAAATTTTAGCAATGATCTTTGCAGCTGCCGTCCATGATTATGAACATACTGGGACCACAAACAATTTTCATATTCAGACAAGGTAAGCGAAGTGGTCTCTTAAGTGTCATGCCTAGAGTTTCCTGTTCATTGGTCTGAACTGTTTCATACCTCTTACTGATACAGCCAGGCAGTAGCCAGGTTATTCCTGATTTTACAAATTGCTTCCTTGACCTCTGTACAGTTAATGGGACTACTCACATGAACAAAGACTGTGTGGAAAAGAAAGGAGTTAGCTCCATAGTGTTTGAAATCATTACATTTTGTAGCTGATATGTCAAGAGCGATTTCGAAAAGATTCAGAACATGAACTTGAAAACCTCTCACCTCTGTATTTGCTTGCTTAAAATCTGGTACTTTCAGTTAAAAAATTTCTGCACTTACTTCAGGTGCTACATTTTGTTTCAAGTTGTGTATTAAACGTGCAGGATCCTTGTACAGAGAGAGAAACCTTCAAGTACAAATCAAGAAATCCTCACCAAGAGTCCTCTCCTAGCATGTTTTGACAGCATCTGCAGTAGTTACAAAAAAGAAATCTAGAAAGAAATCCAGTTTGAAAGTCAGGCTCACTGTATTATCATGCAGGTGCAACATGTCATCCTAGCCTCTGGTCCAGAAAAACAGCATATACCTCTCTCCCTTAAAATATTTTCAGCTTTTCAGAGGAAAACACTGACCAATCCATTACTGGGTGATAAATGGTATACCTGATACTTGGCCTAGTACAAAGCATCTTATTGTTCTCTCACACTAGGCTATACTTTGGTTTTAGTAACCTCAGTTGAGGAGTCTGCTTTACCTGCTCTTAAAAAAAAAAAAAAAATCAGCAAAGCACTGGCATTTTCTAACAAAACAGCTCTGTGCTAGAAACACTACTACTTTGAACAGAAGCATCCTTGCACTCACCCATATGGATAAAGTGCCCAATGGTTAGATTTAAATTAAATCCATAACATACTTGTGCCCCAAGATGTGTCCTTCAATAATGAACGAATTCTAGATCTGCAGCTGAAATAAAGACATAATTCTTTTCTCCCTCAGCATAGTCTGGCTAAAAATAAACTTCAGTTTGTTGTTCCAAGTTCATATTACTTTTCTATTTTTGTTCTTAATATTTTGCTCTGAAGTATTGCAAAAGTGGAAAATGAATTAAGCTGTTAGCCTTTGAATTTCACTTGGGCATACTTGCAAACAGGTATTTGTTTTGTGATGGAGCTCATGCTTCCCTCCTAGTGGAACTTGGCCCTGGTGTGGCATCCCAGGGCTGTGATTCCAGGATTTTATTTTTTTTTTGCCTGAGAAAAGCTGGTTAAATGGCTGTCATAGTCATAGCAAATCTTAGCACTGTTTAAAACTAGCCATAAGTAGCTATATGGTTCAAAGTGTGCTTCATAAACATACGTGATTGGAAAATCACAGATTTTCCCATGATTTTAGTAAGACAAGAGGAAATGGCCTCAAGGTGTGCCAGGGAAGGTTTAGATTGGATATTAGGAAAAATTTCTTCACCAAATCATTGGAACAGGCTGCCCAGGGAAGTGGTTGAGTCACCATCCCTGGAGGTATTTAAGACACGGGTAGATGTGGTGCTTAGAGACGTGGTGTAGTGGTGGACTTGGCAGTGGTAATTTAATGGTTGAACTTGATGATGTTAAAAGTCTTTTCCAACCAAAATAATTGTACGATTCTATGATTATGGAGTAAACACATTAATTACTTAGGTAGGTTATGGTATGTTCCCTCTAAGTAAAGTTTCGAATTGTATTTTAATTTTTTAGATTCCTTGGTGTCATACTGTACACATGGGTGGTTACGCTGACTATACACCACTGCTCAACAGAACAAGAGGTTGAATTTACCTTATTAATATCATCGTAAGCTGCACTACTAAATCATCACACCTTTCTTCTAATACAGACTTTTCAGTTGACCAAACTGAAATACTCAGGAATAGATTTATCAGACCGTAAGTGTAGCAGAGAGGGGAGACCCAAGGTTGGTTAGCAAGTCAGATCAGATCTTAGGGAAACAAATTCCCCAAGAATTAATGAGATTTGAAGCTAAGCATGATCAAACCATACCGCATCAAAATTTCTGAAAATCTATATGTAATTTTGGTATTGTAAGTTAGTCTTTAATTAAGAGGGAAAAGGTACTGTCAAGGGGTGCTAACACTATGGTAAGAGTCTGGCTTTAGGAAGCACTTAAACGCAATCAAATTTCAGCTTTGCATCTCTTCCATTCCTCATTTCAGGCTCAAGATTTGGCTGGTTTTCTGACAAAAGATGGCATTCATTTAAAACATATGAAATTGAAGGTTTTTAATGTTTTATTATTTACTCATCCTTCTGATTATGAATGACATGGGCCAAAGCACATCTCTCTCAGAACAGGGGTAGTAACTTCTAAATACCTATGCTATGTGTGGAGTCCCCTCTGTTGGTGAATGCATTGCATTTTAAATGGTTGTGTCACCAAAGAGTACTCTTGAGTAGCCTAATTAGAGCATTTCTGTTTTTCTACGATCCTATCTACAGTCAAGAAGCTCAAAGATCTCCTCACAAATCTTAGTCACAGTTTTATCATATAAATAAAACATTATACATTTTAAAATATGACTTTCCAACAAACAGTATATACAATGGTATAATAATATTTTTTTATACATTTAGGATGGAAACTTTACCAGTATTGAATACAATAGGAACAAGTAAACATAGTTTGATATATACAGTCAATAGTTCTCATAGACAATACACAGTCCTACCTTCCCCAGTGCCATCATCGGGATGCTATTGCAAATTCTGCCTTTTTTTTTTAAACACTAGGTCAGATGTTGCAATATTGTACAACGATCGTTCTGTTCTTGAAAATCATCATGTAAGTGCTGCTTATAGACTCATGCAAGAAGAAGAGATGAACATCCTGGCAAATTTAACCAAAGATGACTGGAGGTAAGACCTATTGTGACATTCAAACTTAATTCCAGTATTTAAAAATAATAAAAAACACCAGGCCATCCCTGTGGAGTCTATTTTAAGAGTTCAAATTACAGGAAGAAACTTTGGCACTGGAAGGAGTAATGAACATTTAGAGCTTAGGGATGGCTGCTATGGTGTAAAGAAGTGCTGTTTGGGAGGCTCCATGTAATTTTCCAAGTGAGGTTTCGCACTTCTGAGGCACAGAGTTGAACTGTGTGGACAATGTCTCAGGTGAGATAGCTCTTCAGGAAAACCACAGTGCTGCCCCCCTTGAGCTACGTTCCCTTTGTCTAATAGGGGGTTAAAACCTGAGTGCAGAGTCACACGCTGCTGCCAGCTTGAGCACTACCGCCTCTGGGATTTCTGCTGTGTAACATTGCACAGCATGGTCACATCTTGGTTAAGCATTAAAAAATGAATTATCTGGAGAGTCCAAAAATAGTAAAGGCCCAGAAGCACTACAGAAATCTCTTTTGTCTTCTTCTTCTTCTTCATCTTCTTAATTTTAATATAATTCCTGAAGAAGATTTGACCAGCTAAAGAATCAGGATCATGATTGATATGTCACAAATACTGAGACCTGTAAGATCAAAAATGAACAAGTGTTAGAGATAAGACTTTCTCCATTATTAGAAAGGACATGTTATCTTTGTGTATCTTTGGTCACTACATATAACACTTAAAATATGAGTCTTCTGTGTGTTTCTGTAAACATAGCTATTATTCAGAGATCCTAAAAATAACTTTAAAATAGGTGGACTGTGAAGTGAGAGAGAGACGTTCTGCTTACAGGAAAGTATTCCACTGTGAATGATGCCACCATGAATAACAAAGCTGTACTCTGCTTTATATTTTCAGAAAAGTATACATTTATGAAGGAATATGTAAATGTCAGATCAAATTTTGGTACACTGTATGTTTACAGGTGAAGGACTATTTTACATGGTAGATTGACATGATTTTACTTATCTTACATGATCAGAACACCTGTAAATAAAGCATTTATTGACTGTAAGTCTGCTAATTTGGTTTTCAATTCATTATTTTTCTGTAGCTACTCCAAAACACTTAATATTAAAATATTTTTCATTTTTCATTTAAAAAATATAAGAGAGAGGAAAATAAAGTGAGAGAGGAAGTATACACTTTTTCATTCTCATAAAAGATTTCTTATCAGAGGATACTCATTTGGATTTAGTTATCATAAAGTTTGTATTGTAAATTTAGTTCTGGAGAAAGATCTGTGGGAGTAAATTGTAAACTTCAGCAATAATTGTCATACACACCTAGATTTTCATTGCCAACATGAGTCAGCCTTGCTCTGCTTGGAACTATTTTGGGCCTGATAGTTTTGGACCTGATAGGTCTCTCTGACCCTATTTTTGCTTGTCCTAGCTATTGAGTATGGAGAAAGTGATTGCACTAGTAGACAGTCATCAGAGGCTAATATTCTTTCCTTTAAAACCCTTGTTTTAGAGAGGTAATAATTTTCAAATCTTCAGACTTAAGTATGTTTTTTTTGAAGTGTTGTTGTTTTTTCATATTGTGTCCTACTAGAGAATGCTTCCAGGTAGAAGGGAGCAGATTGTCTTCAGTTGAATTTCAGGTCAGGACTGGATTAAGGATGGCTTGAAGACACATGTGTTTCCCCAGTCCTGGCTCCTTCGTCACTGGAGACCGCCATAAATGAATATAGTTTGGGATTCCTCGCAGCAACACGCAGTTGCTCCAGCAATCTGGCTGCCAGCTAGTACAGTGCATCCCAGTTGTTCCCTCTTCTTATGTCACTGAGGAAAAGAGTGATAGGATGGAAACTCCTGTGAAGGAAAGTATTTCCCAATGGCAAAAGGAGCCTATGGTTTCCAGGTGTGAGATGTTTATATATATTGCTCCAGTGGACTGCAATGGAATAAAGGGAGGAATGGGATAGATTGTCTTCACATTTCTGAAGCACACTCTTCTATGCATAGGTTGTTCTGTCTACTCTCCCCCAAATGGACCCTTTGCTCTAACTTCTGTTGTATTTAATTTCTCTGTGGTTTTTGAACCTGTGATAAACCACCATATTCCTTCGGAAGTTGCTCAATCACTGACTAGGTGTGTTTGCACTTGCTTTTCAAGCTCCTCTCACTGTAACCCAGTTTGGATTTCCTGGGGGATTTTATTTTAGTTTTGCAAATTTTGTTTGTATACAGTGGCTGCACAGATCCAGTCCACTATTATACACAGCTAGTGTGAAGTTGGTAGCATTTGGCAAACAGAGAAAGTAGAATTTATGGTCTCTCATTGGGGGTATTCAGTACAACTTAGAAGGGATGTATGAACTGACTAATAAGCTCAAGCTACTAGAGGACGACACTCAGTTCCATGGTTTGTCACTTAACTAGGCAATTACAGTCTGTACTTCAAACAAACTGATAACTTCCAAAGTGCCAGTCTGAGAAGCTGCACAACCTGTTGAAGTCTGATACTTAATTTAGTGGGTCAGTCATGGAAAGGATAGTTTCCTGGTATTTGTTTCTAATAGCCAAAAATACCTTTTACCCTGTCATCAGATACAGTTGTTCATTGGTGCAGTGACAGATTTTCTAGCCACTTAAAAGAGGATCTTCAATTTTCTAATAATTACTAGAGAGAACTTCTTGGACCTGTACTGAAATTCAGGCTGTTAGACTAAGTTTTGAAGTTTGCACTGAATCAAATTGGCAGTAAATTGAAATGATAATTTGTTCAACTTTTCAATGTACTTCCTGGCACTGATTAATTTCTTGACTACTGTCAGATCTGTTTTCTTGAGTTGCAGTGACTTCATTTTTTTAAACTTTAATACCCTGCCTATTTAAACTGTGGTTCTGCTAATTATTTCAGCAAGATGAAGCAAAATGACTGAGAATGACTTTATAGTATTACATTTTCTTTTCTACATGTTAACGTTAAGAAGATAAATGCACTAATAAACTGTCAGCTTCAATTAAGTTTAAAGCATAGGGTTTGGGTCTGAGCAGGGAAACACTGCCAGCATTCTGATGAGAACGTCCTTTGTGGATAGCGCATGTGACATTCATAGTCATTTCTCACTCTTTTCTCAACTCTGAAAATATCTTGCAGTCTTTCATATTGTCTGTTGTAAGTTGTGTTACTTACAACACCTCTAAGTAACTAAAGAGGGATCTCTTTTTGTCCCTCTTCTTTGATTTACCAGGCTTCTGGTGTTCTAGCGCCCCATGTGTTAATGTCAACAGTTATAGGTGATCAGATGGTATTAATGTCTCAAACCATTCCAATCATAAGGCATACAATGATATATTGCCTGATTATATAAAAAATACTAACAAAACAATACACATTATATACAACGCATAATGAACAGCTTTTCTTTCACAAATTCTCTTGAGAGTATTCTCTCTGAGGAAAGCAGGATTGCTGCGACTTGCAAGTTGAACTTTATGTCTTCAGTTCCCAACTTGCTTTTGCTCATCTTAGCCTCTTCCTGCATTTTTTCATTAGTTTCCAGCTGACTAAATGTGTTTGTCGTGGACAAATCCAGGTAAAGCTGTTTTCTGTTTATTGGTTAACTACTTTTCCAAGAAATTCATGTGCCACTCCCGCTCTCTTGCTTATTACAGCATTATTCAAGTCATTTTTTCACATCGTCTTGCATCTATTTTTTACAGTATCCTATCCATGGGACATACGGATATAGGAGGGTTAAGAGAGGATGAGCAGCGCTAACTGTATTAACCCAATGCCTGTAGCCGTGTACTGCTTGATGAAACGGGCAGAGATTCTGTCCAGGAGTTACCTATGAGACTGGTTGAGGTCTCCTGCAACGTGGAAGCTGAGATGGTCTTGTTTTCCTGGGAAACAATTTGAGAATGGTTTAAGTCCAAGAGTAATCTTCAGTGCAATCATAGTAGACTGAGCATTTGTAGCTCTAGCAGACCTTTAACATTTCCCCATCAGTTCTCAATTTTCCATCCCTCTATTGATGAGGGATGGGGGCGCAGACAGGAAACAACTGTAGAGTGTAGGTGGAGAGCCTCTTCTTTACTGTTAAGCAGCTTGTTAGTGGCCTGAAATCTTCAGAAGTGTGTGAGAAGGACAGTGCTACATTGATCCTTATTCAGGTGACAGAGATAGGAATTAGGGTTTGTCTGCTGCCCTGACAGTGTGAGTAAACTGGAAGCAGCATTTTGCTTCTCTGTATGTCTTGTGTAGTAGGGGTGAGCTTATTTCTAATTACTCTTAAAAGTTCAGACATGGAAAGTTCCTAGGAAAATCTCCCACAGAAATGGGAAGTGATAATTATTTCAGTCTTACAAACAACAGGGTTTAACAATGCAGAGCCGTCAGTTTTCATGCAATGTTAGCTGTTCTTTTTTTTTTTTTTCCCCCCCCAATGGTTTTGGCTGTATTTGAAGGGAACCATGGAGGAGGAACAGTTGGGATGCAAATTAATTAGTATCTTATTATGAGGTCAGATAAGGTAAGGCATTATCTAAACAGAAGTTGCTATGGCTGCATATTACTGAGTAGAAGTGAGAGGACTGAGTCTTTATCCAGTTACATCAAAGCATATCAGGAATAAATACACAAAAATCAATGAGGAGTATCAGTTTATGCAATTAATTTGGCTCAGAAGCAATCTTGATAGTTTTTATAACAAACTATTCTAACAACCCTAAACAAAACTGCAGTTTACCTCTTTTAAACAGTCCTTTGAAAAAACTGCAGTGTGAAAGATCTGTGAGAATGACTAAAGTAGGATTCTACTGTTGTAATTGATACTTGGACATCCTTAAGATTGGGGGTGTGCTCATGAAGATACATACTACATCAAAGATTTAATGTGATTAATTGTTCCCAATGTACATATAAGCAACACTTGCACATAAATCCTCCTAGGCCATTTAAAAAGCACGTAAATAAAGACCCAGTAGACTCCTACATGGTCTGTGTACAATCCTTCCACATCAAGGAAACAGAATTTTTCAAATCGGTAATTATTGTTGACAAAATTAATGTACTTTCATATGCAATGAGAACTGATACACTTTTTACATGATTCATGTTTTACTATTTTCATATTCATTTAATAGAAAGCTGATGGACAAACCAACATCTCTGACCATAATACCAAGATATAGATAATTTATAAATCCTGAACATGTTCTGATGCATGAAATAGGCATTAAGATATTTTTGAGATGAAGGGTAGTTTGTCATAATGTACATACATAGGTATAATGTTGATAGTGTTTCGAATATAATATTGCTTGCTCTTCTGAGTGGTGCCACAGCCTTCTTCCTAGGTTTAGTGCTATGCCTGCTCTGCACTAATATGAGGGTGGTAATAAAACACACAAATGTATCCTCTTGTGTGGTGGTAAGCCCAGAGACCAACTGTTTTTTTGAATACTCTGCTGCTGGAAAAATAAGTAAAGACTTATAATGGGTGACAGAACTGCATATAATTTTAGTTTATACACGAGAAAAGAGGAATTACAAAACAGTGTGACTGCAGAGTGCATTTTCTGAGGTACATTGCGTTCACAGAATCCCTTTAGGATACAATGTTCAAGTTGTTAATAATTTATTTAAATGCTTTTTAAACTATAATAAAACCCGTGATGTTGTTTAGAAAGTTATAAATTAACAAGTACTGCTTAAACAAATGTACCATAGATAGAATAAATGAATTGTAATCAGTCATTTTGCTTTTAATTATTCTTAGGGAGTTGCGTAGCTTGGTCATTGAGATGGTCTTGTCTACAGATATGTCGGGTCATTTTCAACAAATTAAAACGATGCGACATACTCTACAGCAGACAGAGGGGTAGGTTATTTTCCATTCTGTTCATTGCCTATAGTCTTTCAATGAGCTCATGTACAAGAAAATAATTTAAATAGTTGCTTTTGTTTTGAGATAATTGGAGCATGTCCTTGAATTGACAGGGTAGACAAAGCCAAAGCCATGTCTTTGATTCTACACGCAGCAGACATAAGCCATCCAGCAAAATCCTGGGAACTGCACTACCGGTGGACCATGGCCCTGATGGAAGAATTTTTTCGACAGGTGCCATTTTTAAAATCTTTTCATAAATCTAGTTCAAAAACCAATGGTTACACAATTAAATCTTTTCATAAGTCTACCAGCAAGGATGCTGTTGGTTGTGATTGACAAGCATAGTCAGTAGTATATATTCCTTACTCTTCATACATACCACTGACATTAATTCAACTTTTATGTGCGTGAATAAGATGAAATTGTGATAGCTCTATATCTATTTCAGCTGATACCAGGATTCTGAGTGTTGTAGCATTTTTTTCTTTCAATAATAATATAACTTGTCAAGCTGTTTTCATTCTGTAGACAGGATTTATATATGCTTTGAGTTAAAAAGAAGCACCAGCAGGGTAGGATGAGGGACTTGAAAATCAGAAGAATTCGTGTTCAGCAAAGAAGACAAAATGTTGTCTCCATTTCACATTTCAGAAAGTCTTCCTATTTCTTTCCCTTACCAGTGCTTGCCATGCATATGCCACATAGATCTGAAGGTTTTGCTTTCATAACAGCCTGATCTGAAGCCAGAGGTTAGACGGTATCATCCTGTTAATGCTGTGGCCATATATCCTAAAAGAAAAATGAAGACACACTTTTGTGGAAGTCTTTTCATTTCTGTGAGATACTGAATTCAAAGAGAAAGCCCAGGAGGTGTTGGTGTCACTGATGCCATTTTTTAACTCACCTCACTCTCACTGTGATGAATATTTGTGACCATACACATTTTTAACATAACAGTTACTGAAGTACAATTGATAACCAAAATCCAGTTTAGGTTTTACACAGTTTCTACAGTTATACACAGGTTTTAAAAATGGTTAATACAGACAACGGAACAGTATATATCTTGCTCATCTTGACTGTCATGATTTTGCTATATGTAGACATTTTCAAATCAGTTGGGTCACACTGGAAAAAGGGGTCAGAGAATAAAAAAGTCAATATGTTAAATCATGAGGTTGTTAGTCCCATCTGCCCCAGAAGGTTCTTGCTTGATTCCTGGAGGTTCTTTATATGAATTCATAGTAGGGAGCATCAGGCCATCCTTAACTCTGGGCTTTGCACTGGGGAGACAGACTGGAGAGCTGATGCCTTAATCTAAATAATGAACGGACTAAGTTTTGTGGAAATACTGAGTAGAGTCATGAGTTTGTGTCTGCTTCTATAAATGGAAATTATGAGAATTTTGAACTTGAGAGGAAAAAGGAGTAGCAAATTACCGCAGATATATATTACTTGAAAAGGTCAGAAATGACCAACTGTAAAAACACTTTAGACACAGAGAGACAGACTAGACAGAGCCCATGGGACAGTGAGGCAATGTGTCCAGTCAAGTGGATGTAACATTAGCAATAAACAGTACCACACTGGTCGTTGAGTGCATAGGATCAGCTAATGTTTTAGTTATTCCTTTATCTTTTCACTAGAAGAAGTAACTGGATCCCAATAATTCTCAAAGACTTGAGAAGGCGTTTAACAATAGAATCAAATCTCCATGTATGTATTTCTGCAACTTACCAGTATAAAATGTGAAAGTCTCTCAGGCTCTAGAGGAGTGTGCGAGGAACTGAATCCATTGTTATATGTGCTACCAAGAACAGCATGTGTGGAGTAGTTCCAACACATTTAAAGTGTGATGAAGTAACTGTACATATATAAATGCAGGGCAGACACAGTAGGTCTCCTGCTTCCTAGATTCACTGGCTTGTTGTGCATCCCCTGGTCTGCTGATCGGAGCACGTGTGGATTTCCAAATCTGTGTCAGCCAAGATGAAGTAGTCCAATCAAAACCCACTAATTCCTCCTCCTCTTTTCTTTAAAAATAGTAATTCAACTACTTCTACTGCCTTGCAGGAAAAAGCAGCAGATGATACAAAACCTATGCTTTAACAGGCAGCTTTCAAAGTAGTGAGCACCAGCAAAAAATGAACATTCACCTAGACAAAAAACTTTGTTAACTGCAGCTAACAGTTAAAATATGTGCCAGTGTTAACTTCAGGGAAAAAGCCAAACAACGCTTTAAGTTTAAAAGCAACAACTACAGAAAGTGTGTTATAATGCCAAGGAAAATCTGAGCTACTTGTTTAAAATAGAAACACACCCACCCATCTCAAAACCTTAAAAATAAAGAAATACATAGTTCAAGTCACTTGAAGTGTCACAGCTCCATTCTGCTCTCATTCTGAATAGACCCAAAAGCACAATAAGAGAATTTGTCCAGTGAGTTCAGCACCTGGGCAAAGATTTTTTTTTACACTGTTTTGATCTTTATCTTGATTTTAAATCTCCTTAAATTCTAATGGTCAATTTAAATATCAATACTGTGTCCATTATTACAGTTTACAATAGACTTAGACTTATATGACATTTAAATTTAATTATGTATTTTATTATATTAATTGCAAAGTAATTCATAACTGGGGTAAACAGCTACTTGAAAACATAAAAAAAATCAAACTGATTCTTTGCTAGTGAGAAGTTTTCTCTTTTTTAATACCTAGTTAAGGGAAGATTACAAAATCAATATTGCTTTAGAAATTCTGTATTCAACAATGGCTGAAATTTTTAGAACTACCCCCTTTTATATTATGTCATAATCTGGCTCCTGTATTTGCATGGAGATACCATTAGCACTGCTCCTAATAGTAAGTGCTCCTGTGTTCTTCTACACTCTGAAGTCAAATTATGAACACTTGAGCATAGAGTTTAGTGATAAAACTCTCCACTTCCACACAAAACACAACCTGCGAGCTACGTCTGTTCCTGTGGCTGAAGTGGATTTATTGGTATTATAGTTCTAAACTTTTCCCAAATCTAGTTCAATGATATATGATAAAAAGACTAAGGAAGGTTGATACTGCCCCCTTCATCCATCAGCTTCTGATGAGATCTTTGGGAAAATGGTATGTTCGTGTACTGCTCCCCACTGAATGATCATGAAACAGCACTCTCCATTACAAATGTAATATGTAGAGCCGTCTTACTTGAAAGACTTAAATTTTCCTGTATCTATAATGTCAGTGCCTTTGGGGGCCAGGTTTGTCCAGCAGCACAAATTATAGCCTCCTTTGAAAGATGTCTCTTCAGAGGTTTTTTTGCACCACCAAACTTTCTTTTTGAACTTTGACAATTCAATTGATCTACCATGCTGAAAATGGAGACAACACCCCCCTGTCTGTTAAGATTGTTATGACAAAAACCCTCTTTTAGTGTGTTAGGTGTTGAAATATTTTCAGAACTAGGTTGTAGAAATCATCTTTGTTATGAAATTGAGCTTGTGCTTTTTTATGGCTTCAGCAGTAGAGAGACATGCCTGCTAGTGAGAATGAAATCAAGTCAGATCATGCCCCTGACAAGAAATTTTACATGTCAGATAAACCAATGTGACAGAAGGAAACACTTAGTGTTTGGTATACTGTTACAAACATATCTAAATATCTCCAATCCCATTACATCTGGGATCAACAGGACTAATCTGTTAAATACTGAAGGATTTTGTGTATGTTAAATCTCATTGGCACATGCCTTGCTCTTGAGGAGAATTTGCTTGCAATAAATTCCTTTATATAAAAATTTTCAAATGTAAGTTAGAATTTTGACTTTTCCTGAAAATTCAAAGGTAAATAATGATGGGTTTCTTGCCTGTGGCTTGTTTTTATTTAGGAATATAAGTGAACAAAGTAATCTGTTAAATAAATACTAAGGATGTTCAGATTTTTTTGTCTCTCTGTCCCTCTATCAAACATGTGCTTATAATATTGAATGTTGTTGTTTGCAGGGAGACAAGGAGGCTGCTTTAGGTCTTCAATTTTCCCCACTCTGTGACCGCAAGTCTACTTTGGTAGCTCAGTCCCAAATAGGTAATGGCAAGTTGTGTTTTCCTTTTTCTTGTGTGTGTAGGAGCATGTGAAATCAGGTGCACATTTCTTATACCCATTTTGAATTTTAAATGTTCCAAATGCCATCATATAGAAGGTGTTTCTTTGCACCTCTCTGTTCACCAAACTCATATGCTCTTACAGCAGAAATGTGCTGGTCTCAAAAGAACATGAAGAAATTTCAGCATATGTGATGCCAAGGAGGGCTAGGAGAGGGATTAACTAAAGTACTGGACATGAGCCCAACTTTTACTTTACACGCTTTAGAGTTTGATAGATCATGTCATCAGACAGATCAATTCTTACTCAAGAACTCACAGGTCTGTCTCTACTACAATCTGAAAGCCTGGTACCATTTTGTAGATGCATCTCAGCTTAAGGCTAATTCATACATCAGATCTCTGGACTGCAGTTAAGACTGTCAATGTGGCAGGGCCAAACTACACAGGGTCAAGCCTCCTTGGGTTGACAAGGACCACTGCATTCTGTTCCCATCAATCCTAGTTGCATTTTGGTCAACAGTGGCCAAACATCAGCTTCCCATTTTAAGAAATGCGAGTCTTGGCTCTCGCTATCCCCATTTCCATCAGCAATAGTAAGGAAATAAAAATTGTTAAAGATCACTGGGGCTGGTTACAAGGAGGCACCCTAGAAGCATACTGAGTAGAAGAGTATGTCCTACCAACAGCTGTACCTCTTATGTCAGTGAACACAGTACTCAGGGAGAGATTCTATAGGTGACAGGGTCTTATCCAGGTGACTGAAGCATGTCACCCTGTCTGATTTTGTCACTCAAAATGTCCTTTATTCCATTTCACTGGAACTTGTAAGGCAATGTGCTAGAGCATCATATCTACTGCAAGAGGGAAGCTGGATCCTAGGCTGAAGCACTGTTGCTCACCTTTGTGCTATGTTGCATGGTTAGAGTATGAAGACATCTGGAAATCCATTGCTAGCTCATGTTTTAGCTTTTTTTTTTTTTTCCTGTTAAGTGCTCAGCAGAGAATAATGCTTCATTCTCTCACTGTGTCATTCCATACCTTGATGAGCACTTTAAAATGTAAAAGACATTGTTCAGAGCTGACATCTCAGAACTGTGGGATGAATGCTGTCTCCTAAGGATATTACTTGTTCTCTTCACTGATTTGACAGAACACTCCTACACACTGTGAAATAACACTTTACCTCCACAGAATAATAAACAGCAGTTTGAAATATTAACTCCTTGGCAAGAAGCTCCAAATGGTAAAAGAGACAGTATGACTTCTAGCCCCCTGGCTTAAACGGTAGCTTCCCTGCTATTCAATGATTAATATTCATTTCAAATGGTAGGTGTATTCTGCAGTGCATAAGATTTACAAGAAAAGATGAATGAAAAGCTATAATTATTAATATCTAGTTATATCTATACAGTTTCAGGTATTTTTTGGTTTAGTTGTGCTTCTTTCCTCAAGATTATACTGGTAGTGTCTAGTATATTGAGTCAGAACTACAGTCAGAAAATCAGCCTGATAGCAAGTATTTATTTTTAGATTTAAGAGCTGTGGAAATGTAAAATCTGATTTTCTCTCTTCTTTAGGTTTCATAGATTTCATAGTAGAACCAACATTTTCTCTTCTTACGGACTCAATGGAGAAAATTGTTATGCCTCTTATAGAGGAAGCATCAAAATCTGAAAGTCCTGCATTTGGGACACCCAGGTATGAATACACTGCTTAATTATTGAACTAACATAAGCTAACATAGTAATGTAGTTCTCAGAGTTATCACAATTATTTTAAGTTGGAAAAGTACCATAAATAGCTGTACGGTATTGCCACCATGTGGTGCTATGTTGCATTTGCAATATGCTATTACTCCACTGACTGTGGACAATCGTGTATATAAAAGGCAAAAACATAATAATGAGCAGAATACACACGTATAAAGTTGATTTTGTACAGCATATCTTACAACATTTTTTCCTTTGACTGTAATCTTTGCAATAGATTATTGAAGTTCCTAGTTCTCTTATCCTGAGCCATTTTCAGTATAATTTTAATTGACAGAACCAAAAGTCATTCTTACCTTTCTGACAGACAATTGGAAGTGGAGGTGATGAAAGTGGTTTCAGGACTTTTTCTGGTTTTTATTATGCTGTAGGTCACTTTCCTTCTTCACCTTTCCCTTTTAGTATTATTTGATATATACACTTGAGAGAAAATTGATTCCACTTATATTCCACTTGAGAGATCTAAATACAGTAGAAGTGAGATGCAGAGAGGGGTTGCCCATCAAGCTCTTGATTTTTGCATCATGATAGAAATTGTCTATAAAACAAACTAGCTATGACAGGCAGTGTTATCTGAGTGATTCCACACAGAAAGCATCGTTCAATAATCAGGTGCTGCTTTTACAAATATTGCCTCTATTATGACTTTTTTCTTTTTCATTTTAAAACTGTAATTTGAGCTTTAACTGAGGCTACTAATATGCTAACTCCACAGGGCTGTTTTTCATTTGCTGTTAGCTTTTTTCTGATCATGAGTTTACTTCACATGTATTTTGGTTACTAGAAGTAAGTAGAAGTTACTAGAAGTAAGTAGAAGTTACTAGAAGCAGGTTTTTATGACAGTATTCTTAGTGTTTTGGGGAACAGTGCTAAATTAAGACATTATTGATAAACTTGTTTACCTACTCAGTTCTTCAGAAATGAGTGATTAGCAGCTGCAAATGATTAGTAGCTCCAAGCTTATTTTGGTTGATATTCATGACTGAGTGGTAGATGAACAAAGGCTTATGATCCAGCAAAGCTTCTTCATGTGAGGTACAGGAAAAAGGGATTTTTTTTTCTTACTATGGAATCAAGATCTACACTTACAAAGAGGATAGGGAGCCTATAGCATGATACAGAAATGTCTGAGGCAGCGCAGTTGCACTACTGGGTGGACACCGTGAGTATAAGATGTGACATTCACTGTGGTGCCTGGAAAATATTAGAATTATAGCCTATTCTTTACATTCTGTCCCATTCAACATCTCTGGAGCACACAGAAATTACAGTTAACTCTTCGTGTTCAGTTCTCGCTGATATGTTCACTGCAACTATATTTCCTGATTAATGGAAATCCATTTGTATGCATATTAACATCTATCTTTGATACCAATGAGATAAACTATGCAGCGTAATTGAGTAAACAAAACCTGCTATGACATGATTCCCTGTACAAGGCCAGAAATAGGTCTGATTTTCTTAATCCTAAAAAGAGAGTTCATTCTTTTTCTCCCACCTTTATATGTTTCTGTATATTTACATACGATTTGATTTAACTTCTACCTTAACTTATGTGTAAGGTAGCTGCAGTAGCTCTTAAGATTTTAAAGCCTACTAGTACTAAATCCTACTTTGACTACACTCCAAGGCATGCACCTTGAAGAGAATTTTCAGATGAAGCTAAACTTACTTACCTGTGATACTTTTGTGTGTTGCTTTTTTTAAATGGCTCAACAGATAACAATCAGATGTCTATCCTGTGAGCCCCAAAGATAGCATTCACTGTTCAAAAATACAGCTAAGAAGCTGCTCCAAAATGGCTACATATACATTCTTTCAAGAACCAACTTTAAAGTAACATATTTTCAGCTGTCACATTTTTCTCCTCTCTGGAAAAAGGTCTGTAACAATCAGTCCCAGGTTACAGCTTCATGAGTTGAAGTAATATCTTGTATCTTAGGCACTCTCAGGTGAAAACTATTATTTTGAGTTAGTGAGTACATGTAGGTCCTTAGGCATTTGATTCAAATTAACTGTGTATGATTAAAATTGCCTGACTGTGTTCATAATTTAGGGGTTTTTCCCTTCTGCAGCCAAAATAGTTTGGGAGCAGTAAGCAATGCTGAAGCACAGAGACGACCCAGTTTTAAAAGTACAAGTGATGGAGGGACTCACACAGAAAATTCTCTAGCAACTGTAGACCTAACGAGCTTTAAGGACAACTTGATGAAGATCATTCAAGCAAACAAAGAAAGATGGAAAGAATTAGCAGTAGAAGGTATGATATACTAAGGTGGAATGCTTTTATAGGTTACTCCCTAATATGTCCTCTACTTTCATTTTTTTAATTTCCTTCAACCTATAAAAATACATAGTTGTCTTGTATTCATATATATGTATGTCTTAATGTTTGTTTAGATGGCTCTGTTTCACTCTCCCAGGAGGTATAAAGAGATGTAGATGGTCAAGGAATGAGAGGAAGTCTTATAGCTTGCACAATAAGGCTCTGTGCCGCTCAGCTTATCTTTAGAGGTCTGGTTTAGAAATGTGCATTCTTGCACATTTAATCATAACTGATAGTGGCATCTGCTTTAAATGCCAAAATCAACAATTCAAAGTAGTATGTGCTGCCACATTTCTTAAGAAATGTAAAAGTTGTACTTTGTCATTAGAAATGCTCTTTGTTCCCCACTGTATGGAACAAAATTCAGTATTGCAGGCTTCTTGGGACTGTGCTGTAGGCAATTATTTAAATGACTCAGTGGATCTAAAGATTTGGGCAATCACAGAATGTATTAGACCCAAACAAGGCAAAAAGTGACTCTTCATTTGCTGGTTGGTAGTTAATAAAGCCAAACTTGCATCAAGCGTCTTAGTTCCTAAGCCATACCTGAAAATTGTCTGGGGTTACAGTTATCTGAGTGAAATTATTTGTGATAATTGTTGAACACAATTTATAACCTTGTTCCAGGTTATAAATTATGAATGAATGGCATTTGGGAGTCTTTTGTCCACAGTCTTTCTGAGTAAGCACCTGGAATATTTCAGTATAGCGTTTCGCTTTAAATGACCTGATACTGGTGGCCTGGAATGGTATCTTGGAATCCAGTGCCAGCCTTTTCTTTCATCCCATCATCCAAAGCAGCATCTTTTTTCTCAAAGAGGTGTCAGACAAGACAGAAAAACACTGCTGAGCAGTGCTAAAATCTCATTTAGTGCTAAATTGTGAATGAATATTCTCCTTAGGAGAATATTAAGTAAGAACAGGCGTCCGTGATCTATTGTGACAATGATTTGAGAGTCAGGTAGAAGGGGGCAGCTGAGGAGGAGATTTAACTAATATTGTCTCTTCTTCATGAGCAGCTTCATATAATCAATTGCCTTTTATGGTGTTGTCTAACCAGTACTGACTGGTCAAAAGGACAAAGCTGCTAACTTGCAATGATCAGTAGTAGTACCAGACTGTCAGGGTGCCCAAGACCACTTAGCTACAGCCTGCAGGAAGCAAACAGCCCTACATGCAAGATTCTTCAATACTGAAGAATGGGGAACTTGCTTTTGCCATTTCCAGTAACATCTAACTAACCAGCTTGATTTTGGTACATCAGCATTTTGGTATATTGTTTGGAGGTGTACAGTGCTATCAGAAAAGATAATTTCCCCTTTGTTTCCAGTGCTTTGTAGTGCTCTATAAATTACTGATAGATTTAGCCCAGTTTTTCTGGGTTGTTGACAGCCATTGACAACATAAAGCTTCTCACAGCTTGTGAATAGTGCAAATACTTTTGACTACAGGTTTGTATTTTGTTAGTACACAGATATTTTTAAATAAAAGCTGTGGGACAATTATATAGGTTTTGTGAAAGTTATTTTCTGTTCATTTTTTGGAAGCAATGTGTGTATACTTACTTCATATGTGGGCACTAAGGGCTGCTGGAAAACAGTTTTCATTGAGCGAATATAGCTCTTTACAGAGCACTATCTGAGGTAACACGTCAGTTTCTTGTCATGTAATGGGAGAAGGAATCTTCCCCATGTGGTCCACGTCAGCAGTATATCCGCTTTCAAGCTGCACTCTGCAAAGGCTGAAAATCCTTAATCAAACTGTGCAAAATGAACATCTAGTAAAGAACGAAAAATATTGAAATACATCCCCTTTCCACTTGAAATTCCTTTCAGATTGCTCTCAAGTTTGACTAAGCTTGTAAGTGAATAACCTGAGACCTTGAACCTCAGATAATTTGTTCCTTCCTGTCTGGATCTCCTGTTACCTTCTCTGACTCTATTGCTTGATGAAAACTGTTTAGGTTATTCTGGGCATACGTATGAAGTCCTGTTTTATTCCTATGTTAGTGGGAGCATGTACCAAGGGAAGAAATACCGGGGTAAATCACTGCCAGGTGAAAGGAGTTTTGTTAATGTTGTCATTATTCCTGGCTAGATAGGTTATGACAAAGCACAAAGAGCTGAGTGCGCTGAGAAGGTCTCATGTATGAGGGTGGTATGCCATGATAGTAAGCAGGCTGGCTGTTAGCGTAGATCTCCAAACGCACTGCCTGAGCTGACTATGACAAACAGTACTTGGGCTGGTAAAAGAACCATCTGCATTCTTGTCAGTGGGCTCTGCAAACACTAGACATTGTTCCCAGATTAATTCACAGGCTCAGGAGGAGTTGTCTCTATAAAACGTGGTAATACAGATACACAAGTAATATAGAAAGGAAACTGGCAACAATCCATATAATTTCCTGAGCATGACTTGAACTCATTCCAGTTTCTCACCTTTTCAGGGTAAGACTATGCATGCAGCACGGGTTGGGAGGCAGTTCAGCCAGCGGTGAGGGAGGGCTGAGGAAGATAGTCTGACTCCTGTGCCCAGACAGGCCAGAGCAGGAGACCAAGACACGCTGACAGTGCTGTTGACAGGGCAGCTTTCCTGGAGATGTAGCAGGCCCAGCTGCTGATGCTACTCCTCCCTGAAAAGGTAGTTGCTGCTGAGACCTGATTCAGAGCAAGCAGCTTGTGCAAGGAACAGTGAGCTTTGTTTTGGAAATGCCTGTGTTAGTAAGGAAAGCATTTATCTACCTAGGTAGCTGTTTGAGAGCTTCCTTAACAGAAGGCTCACTAAATAGGATGGCTCCACTTTGCTAAAAAGGCCATGTCTTCTATAATTGATGCAGAGGAGCTCAGTGCTCAATAGCCTAAGGGTCCTCAACCTTTCACCACTGGAGAATTACAGGAATGTTTCTCAGGCCTTTCAGGGAATGCTGTTAACAGGGAATTACCATAATGATCAAACATCTGGGATTCTAATTTGAAAGCCTTGATGTTTAATTAATATTCCAAACCCCTAATCACCAGATAATCTGTCTTTGTTCAACTCAACACAGTGATAAAGAGACTGTTCCATCCGGTGCTATTTTCAACACTTAGCGGAGATGGCTGCTGCTATTTGCAATTGTGGTACTTGTAGCAAACAGACAGTAAAGATGCTCAGATGAGTCTGAGAGGTTGTTTCATTGGAGAAAATGTTTGTTAAATGGATTTTAAGGTCTGGAAGTTACTGACCTACTGAGAAAGCTGCAAGAAACACACAACTTCTTGGGAAAGATTTAAATATCATGTAAGATCCTTCATGATACAGTTCTTAGAACAGAGAAATTGTAACACAATGATTTAATATTTTTAAAAATACAATATTTATTCCTTATGCCTACAATGTTTATTCCTTCATGCTCATTTTGTGCTATAAAATGTTTTAAAAATTTACTGATCAAGTTGGTCAGTGGTTGGCAAGCTCAGGTACTCTAAATAGAGTAAAAGGGTATGGACTAGTAATCATGCTTACCATCTGTTCAGTAGATGTCATTGTAAATAAAGTTACAGGGATAAATAAGTATCGTCTTCACTTTACAGCTGAGCAAAAAGAGGCACAGACAGTTTAGGACACTCACCTCGGGTCATATAGTGGCACAAGGGAAAGCAGCATACAGGCCAGGGGTGCAGTTGCCGGTCCATTGGCATGCTAACGTGGTTCATCTTCAGGATAATACAACAGCAGTGTTACTTGTTGTTCCCATTTTATGCCTATGTAACTCTTCTGAAGAATTAGCTGTTACAGGACCTGAATCAGGGTTGCATTGTTTGTGTGGGAAGTGATCAGAGACAAACCTTGTCCTCAACACCTTTTGGCAGTGCCCTGTGCTGCACAGCTCGAAGGTGTGCGCGTCTGGGATGTCTGACTGCATCAGGACAGGATGAACAGTGTGAGGCTGAACAAGGCTCTCACACTGTCCTGTGTTAATTTTGGCAGTAAAAACATGAAAAAATGTCAACTACTGCATCTTTGGAGTAGGGATCAGCTTTTTTTTTTTTTTTCCTGTGGGCAGCAACTTTGAATAACAAATGTCTCTTCTGAAAGACTCCTGCATGGTACCTGCAGGCCCCCCTCAGGCACTTCTGGTCCTGCATACTTCCAGTCACGATAACCACAGGGTTCAGTTCCATTTTGTCTGAAAGATTTTCTCTGCAGACTCGCTAATAAGAAGAGAGTAACAGCTGCTGAAATGTGAAAATCTAGGAGTGATGATCTGATAGCATCTTAATGTGATTTAGCAGCTGCTAGGAAGGGCGGGCGGTGGGAGGATGTGTGTGACAGTCTCAGAAACCGACTGACAGTTTGGCACATGAAAACTACCCTAATGGACTGTTTTAATCTGTTGGAGAAAAATAAATTCAGGGGGCTAAAGGAGTCCCATCTAGGACCAGTGAAAGTTATTTTAGTTGCAGTGCTAAAGCATTTAGGTCATAAGCAATTTTTGAGCTAATCCAGAAAAGTGTTAAGAACAGTGGGAAAAGGAGAACTTTTTCTCCATGGTCTGAGGAAGTGCAATGAATGGGTAGAGCTAAGAGTGGCAAGAAACGTTTTGTATTGGCAGTACCTGGTAAATCACAGATTAAGGAATGATAACTGAACCCGATAATGGAACCAGTTATATATCCTCCTGGAGTATACACCAGTAAATATATATCTGGCCTGCCTCTTCACGTGGCAAACTACATGACTTAAACCAGCTTTTCCCTCTAGTAGGCTCAGAGCAGCATGTCCCTCCCTTCCCCAGTCCCAAAAGTCCCAACATTCAAGCCCCTGTGCTTGCAGCTAAACAGCAAAAGAGAAGTAAAAGGCGGAGGTAGCCACCCTGGGAAACCATAAAGTCACGAATTATTTTTAACCAAATCTTTTAGTAAAAAGTTTTGATAGCTAATTAAGCCTTTGCTACATTCTCTATGTGACGTAATGCTGTGACATTAAGTTCCACTTGATTACGTGGTTTGCAGTGGTTTTATATACCCCCATATCTGTGATGAAATTTGTGTGAGGAGTTGAAAGTGGAAGGAATCCATGCCTAAATAACTCTGTGGGCTATTACAATGTATTCTTGTGTTTGAAAGTGTCAGGTTGGTTGGGAAAATCACAGTTGTTTGGGAACTCCTGAGCAAGTCTTTAAACTTGGGAGTCCCAGAGGCACCAGGATCAGCCCTCTTGTTTTCTCCAAAGTTTTAATGCTTATTGCTGGTCTCTTCCTCTTTTTAAAATGGCTGATGTGAGAACATGTCTTTTAGAAAGGTGCAATTCCTTCCCATGTTGTCCTGGTTTTGGTCTTTTGTCACTGCTTTGTGGAATTTTGTTTTCCAGTAAAAAAAAGAAGGCAGACAAGTCTAGAAATCAAAGTTTGTGGTAATATACACAGAGTGTCCGTAACATCCAGCAGCATTCCTCGTTACAGATTCTTCAGATAATTTAATTCTTAGTGAAAATGAACAGCTTTCCTCTCTAATTCAGTAGTTTGATGATTCTTTGTACTTCAGTGTCATTATGCCTTTCTGTAAGGGTAAGCTACTTTCAATACAGCCAATGAAAATAGCAATGTGATTCAGCAGACATTTGCTTTACTGGGGTTTAGTGCTGTGGCAGTCGCTGCCATTAGCTGATTCGAGAGGTTCTGCTTGCACATGGCTTTAGTGCTTTTTCTCTCCACTCTTGTTAAGTCACGACATACTCAAGTGGTGCAATTGCTGGAGACAGAAAGGTATCTTATAAGCCCTGTACTGTCCAGATGATAGTAATTGAATGCTCTGTTCCCCTTTACAGAAAGGCCAGGAAAAGAAAGTCGATGGACGTATACAGAAGAGAAAGTACCAAAATGTAGAAAAGCTTCCTCACCACTTAGTAGACTATGTCCTGAAAGTGTTGCTGCGTACACAGGCAGTAATGTAGCAGAGCTGATGGAAATCCGTGTTGGAGTTCATAATGCAAACTCACCAGAGCTTCTGCAGCAGCAGAGCAGCAATACTTTGGAGACCAGAGAGTCCTGTGGCATGGTGCTAGAGATTGAGCCGTGTGACAGTTTCAGTGTTTCATGGACAGTTTAGCCTTTTGTTGGGCTGACAGGAATTCAGTGCTCCCATTCCCTCCAGCTAACAATTAAAAAAAAAAAACCCTTAAAGAACTCACTTCAATTTTCAGAGACTTATTAAGCAACCCAAAAAAAGGTGACTTTATGAAAGAGGAGTAGTATCTGGTGAAAAGGGGAGAGAAGTGACCTTCACTAGTTAACACATTTTCTGTAGCTGCAAAATTACTAAGTACCACAATTTTTCAACTATTCTGAAATTTGGCTATTGCCTTACAAGTCCTGCCAGTTTTCCAAACAAAACAATGCATTACAATTATTTTGTCAACAGCCCAGCCTAAACACAAGGGAGGAAAGACACCACTTCTACCATGTTTACGTATCAAATCCCATTGTTGCTTCTCATGAGGGACAGTGATTTAAGGCAGGAGTTCAGGAACTGCACAGAAGTACAGGAGAGAGGGAAAAGATTGAGCCACCTCTAACAGGCCACTTAGGAGAAGCCATTTGTTTTACAGATGAACTCACACAAATTCTGCTGAATAACACTTGGGTTCTTGTAAAGAAAACAATACCAAACAGTTGAAAATATGTAAACAGGCCTGGCTCCAGGCACTTTTACTGAGTTAAAACAGGGAGAACAAAACCAGTGCAACAATAACACAGACCCTGAGTTTACTGCACTGCACAACACATTTCTGTCTGTCTTTATCTGAATGCATATAATAATCCTGAAGCTATTCAGTGCCTAACTGACCCCCTCCCCTCCCCCCCCAAAAAAGAAGGGAGTTTTCTAGAGGACCAAGAAGATTATTTAATCTTATTAATCCTATTCATCTACTTACTCTTATTAAATATTGTTGATGTTGCAAATGCCAATTGTTCATTTAGCATACCCCATTTCCACCTCCAGCTGGCCATGGCACTTTTTATCAGCATAAAAAGACTAATGTTTAGCAATAGTTTTAACTCCACAGATTTTAAAATCCCACAGTATTTTTCATACTTAAAAAAAGATACTATTTTTCTCACATATTCTTTTTTTACTGACTTTTGGAATAAATAGTATCGCACCAGATTAAATGCAATAGGTATGCCATTTAACTAGTATGTTCTCTAGGTGTAACTTGGTGCAGAGATACTCCATTTCAAAGCTACATCTGTCAGATGTGCATAGACCTGAGTCAGAGTTTGGCTGTGTTTTAAATATCCTTAAACAGACATGTTTGAAATCATCTCAAGGGTAGTCATAGAAATAAGAGACCAGCATGACAGAAGTTATGAACATCAGCATTGTTCTGATCAAACTGTTAATCTTCATTTGCCAGTTTAAGTTTGTAGGGAGTGAAGGAAAGCAATTTTAAGTTTAGCTATTCAGCTTTATGAACTAAAAAATAAGAGTGGGCTTTGCCTAGATGAATATTCTGAGGGTTCTAATTTGAGAATGAAGTGGTCAGCCAAACAGTTACACCAAGACAAATCTGACTTCTGGTTAGCATTGTCCTAAAACACCATTCTGTGAGAAAAATACTGTCTGTTCTTACCAGCTTTCAGGTTAAAAAAGCTACCTGTTGTAGTGTGAGCTGAGTTAGTATTACAGTTTTATGTGTGATTGTAGTTCAGCTTTTGCTTTCCTCAATTTACTGATGCATCTGAACAGCATCTGAAATATTTTATCTTGTAATTTCCTTTGCTTTTTTACAAAGTTAAGGAAAAATGCTTGTAGCTTTGCCATATGGAGGCAAATATGGCACGCAAATCAGTTTCTTGGGACAAAAGCCTTAGGTACATAGATTATACCATGAGTGACAGATGCTTTAATTAACATATCTGGATTGAACACCAGATTTACAGTTGCATATAGATATTTCTTCATGTCTTTAGCCTGACCGCTTCTCTGTAAGAGCTGCATTGAAGTCTATAGAAAAAGAGTACCTGTCCAAGTTTCAGAAGATTTGGAGTCCAATACAAGCAGGTTTCTAAAGTTTGTAGAAAAAAAATGGCTTAACAGTTCAGAAAGTGCTCAAATTTGAAAGTTCTTGATTTTTTTAAAAGTGTTCCAGAAAGTAAAAGAACTGACAAAAGAAGGAAATGATTTAATTGTTCCATGTTTCTGCACATCAGCTCAGGTTTGGAGGTGTTCCTTTCCATCCCATTTCACAGGCCAAATTTTACTTCAGGGGTAAATTTCTTTGGATTCAGAAAAGTGAGGCGACAAAAATGCCAAATGCTGACTGTGGTAGAAATGAAATTACAGATTTTGCTATTTTTCAGTTGTCCTATGCATTCACTTTTGGTCTGGATTCGGACTGGTCACTCACAACCGGAGTTTCTGGGAGCTTGCCAGTTGAACTCAATAAATATCTCAGTGCTTGGTTTCCTTCCTTAACACAGTGAGCACAGCCAAGTTAGAAATTTATGCAATATCATGCAGCTGTCTTGTGGAGGTGTTGTTCAAACTGCAATGGTCTCTTTTTAAATTGATAGTGTTTTGTATCTTCTATATTAGTATACAGATTCTAAAATCTGAATTTATGAAACAGATTCAAATAGCAAGAGAAATAGGCCCTCTACGAAGATGGTACAGTTATTTTTTTATCAGACTTTTCACCCTCCATCACAAGTTGTCCACTCTCTGTTCATCTTCAAGTTTCTCCTGGTACCACCTCTCTGCGCTGCTCTGTTCTGTCACCTTTCACGCTGGGCCATTTCATTTGTACTGTTCTCCAGGTGTCTGCAGTAGAGCAAGGAATAGAGCCTTCCACAAACATTATTATCTCCCGTCGCTGCTGTCCCTGAAGCACAATTTCCGCCATATTTCGTCCTTCCCATTCTGTATGTGCACTAGCCATAACGGCAGCAGTACTGGACTGCCTGTGTGTACCCTTTTCCGCTCCTCCCCTTTTTTTTTTGTTTTTTAGCCATAACGGCAGCAGTACTGGACTGCATGTGTGTAACCCTCTGTAACTTGTTCCGGCTGAAGCTCTGTATTAGCTGCCATTTTGGACTTTTCCAGGCTGACAGGCCAACTTCCTTCAGGGCTTCCCTTTGGTTCTGGTGCCTCCCCCATCGCCAGCAAGGTGCTCCCCTCCATGCCCTTTCTCTGTTGCAGAACTGATGAGCTCTGCTCGTGCTAGTCCTGTGGTGGTAAACACCACTGCTGGGGGACGTGCCTGCAGCGTGGGCTCCTCCTGCTCCCATCCTTCAGCTTACAGTGTGTCTGATGATGCTCCTTGTTCTGTACTATGGCCAAAAGAAAGAGGTACAAAATAGAGATCAAATCGGAAAGCAGACCACTATGGTTCAGTTGCAATAGTGTAATCGGGAGCAGAATCTGACCCATATTAAACACACCAGTGCAGATGTCCTCATGCAGAAAGTCAATGTTCACGGTGTTCCCATGTGCAGCTCTATGAGTCACTGCTCTGAAATCAAACAATTGTGACATATCCTTCATATCTAATTCACATATTTTGTTCCCTCTTTGTAGAAGAACTTGTGAAAAATGTTGGTGAACAGGAAAAAGACCAAAGCAGAAATTCCACAGATGCACAGTTACAGGAAGAGACAACAAGGATACAAAATGAGAGTAGTCAGGGAAGCGATGGTACAACCTGTCCTCCCAGATCCATCGTCCTACAAGTAGTCTCTTTCGACACTCCTCTGAGTGATGAATCCAACTCAGAAAAATGCACTAACTCTGATCCGAACCAGAAAGATCTCACCGATGCCCAGCAAGAAACACAGAATACAGACCCACTGAATGGTAATACTTCATCACAGAGCACCAGTCAATCTAATGAAGCTGTCCAGGGCGAAGCTGCAGCAGTGTGTGGTATCTCTCTGTCAAACATCGACAGTAATGTAAAATATCCAAATAAGGTGTTGTACAAACCACCAGCATAAGAAAGTTTCTTCAGGCATGTGTAGGAAGAGTAGTGTCCTAAAACCATCAAATAAAAGCTGTTTGATATAAACAAATATCATCTTATTGATATTAGCTATTTGGTAGCTAGTAGAAATTTTTTTTACACAAAATACCAAGACCTTTAGTTGAGCTAGAAGAATGATTCTACAGTAATATAAGATGTGTATTTGCAATTAAATAGCAGTTTGTTATTGGAGAATAAGGTAAACTTTCAAAACAGAACTAACTAACATTTTCTCTTTGAGTAGATAATTATTCTTATGCTATTAAAATGTACCCTCCTTAGTTTAGGCACCTAATATGACTATTATTTTGTAAACCACATCCTTTGTAGTAAATGTGAATTTTAGAGTTAACTTAAAGTAGATGGAATTTGCTAACTGTAGCAGGCATGGGACTGTGTCATTCTCTAAGAAGACTATAGTTCGCAGCCAGCAAATCCCTGTAATGTCAGAATATTTGGTTAGAATGTAAGTATTTTATCACAAGCTGACTGTGGTTTAGTGTCTGGTGATTGTAAGACAGTACTAAGGGCAAGATGCCCAAGCAATAGAAATAGATGTTATCAAAGTAAGAGAAAGACACTGTGCATTTTCATTTTATTTTCATATGGTCTGAATTTGCTTATTGTTGGAATAAGCTTTGAGGTATTAGGGTAATCAGAATAATCAAGGTGTATAATGACACTTCTTTTCCTCACTTCTAATTAAAATGCTAAACTCATTAATGCTTTTATGACAGCGAGCCTTGCAATATTATGCCAGAAGTATGGCATTGTCTGAGCAGCAACACTGAAGTACTTATAAGGCTTAGCTTAGACATAAGTATATGACTTGGCATATTTCTCAAAAATGCTTTTTATGGAGAACTCCCACTTATACTAGGGTTCTGCATTCCAGCGCTCCCTGCTTTTTTTGTTGGCAGGTTTTTTCCATCAGAAATAACAGATGGTTAATTTAGGGTCCTAAATCAAAATATTTACACTAAAATTAATTTCACAGCATTTGAAGTTGTCTAATAATTGACATTTTTGTCTTTGGACATGTATTTTTTTGCACCAACTTTTGTATTAATGCCCAAATTGAAATTTAAGTGCCTTAGAAAAGTTTCCCGTCCCCTGGATGAGGAACACAGTAAGAAAAGCTGCATCTTTTATCTTTCAAACTATGTTGAAGGCAGTTGTGGTGTAGCTGTCCTTGGGGGTCTTTAGATGGCTGACCAACAAAAATGCTGTTTGAGAAGTCAGGTACGACTCAGCGTGCAGTTAGTGCCCTCTGTTGCCTTGTGAATCTTTACATTCCACCTTTCCCATGAGAACAGAGATATCTTATGTTAGAAAAAGTTAATCTTATTCTTTTTCTAAGGCAGGGAATTTTCTACAGGATGCCTTGTATTTTAACACTTCAAACTGCAAAAAGTATGAAAAGAGTAAGAAGTGATCGAGTTCCTAATAGTGTATTTCCAAAGGCAAACATGATCTAGAAGCTATTTTTTTCTTGAAGATGGTAAAAAAAAAAAATCTAATAACACAAATTCCACCAATCCAAGGATGTTCCTTCACTAGAGATGGCAATGTTCAAAAAGAGTTCAGATAAATAATGACATAGAAATAAGAGATTGATTTAGTTATTTTGTGGAAATATGTAGTATCGGTAGGGTCTTGAACTAAAAGCCAGAGGTCATATGGGGACATTGCTCAGATGTACTGGTGACAAGCTATGGAGAAAGGGGAGAAATAGGAGGAGATATTAACTGCATCAAGTGATTAATCACACAGTAATAGAAGCAGCAAATTATTTTTAAGGCAGCTCCAGAGGCTGAGCGATGACCCAATACTCACTTACTGGGATCCCCCAACTTACACCTGAGCCACTGTAGCTTTTGCAGCACACATCTCAGTTGCTGCTGATTGCCACGGAAAGTTTTGGTATAGAAATGTAGGTTTCTCTACTGAAACTAAACACCTGTGCCTGAAAAACTTAAACTGCTGTATAAAGATCTTTGGAAACGAACGGAACTGAAAAGATTTTTCTCCAAACACTCCTTTACCTCAAGCTGTGCCTTTTTCTGCTGGCAAGAGTGTATAACATAGAGGCTACAGCTCATGCCATTGATCAATCACGTGCCCAGCCATTGTAAAATTCTGTTCTGAACAGGTCTTCAAATTAGTTGGAAAACTGTTCATCTGATACGGTTTGTGAACAAGTGTAGTCATCAGTTCTTGATGCTGTTACAGGAAATTCAGATAATTTGTGTGTTCCCAATTCTTTGGACTTTGCATTCTAGAATAGTGACTTTTCACCTATTTAGACGTGTGAATCCTTGAATTTTTTCCAGTGGAATTGTGCATCCCTGGTCAGCCAACTTAAGCTTACAGAAAGTAGGTTTGCATTTCTTTTAGTCTCATGAACCTTTCATGGATCCCCTCATAAGTAAATAATAGTCTCTTAAGTCAGAAAATCACAAGATGAAGCTGGATTTCTGATTTACACTGTCACAATTTTTTAGCAGAATGTTACTATGCATAGAGTAAGGGTATTGGTTAGGTGTTATTTTTAAAGGCATCTGATATTTGAAGGCATTTTTATTTGTTGTTTTATGTGAAACTTCTGTTTACTGTGGTATGTTGAATTTATTCTCATCCATCTCCTTCAGTGATTATTTGTGTTCATTTTCCAACATAGATAAATAACCAGGAAAATGGAGAGCTCCATGAATGTTTTGCCTGGTTTCTGTAACGTATTAATGTCAGAGTCCAATGCTCTCTGACCAGGTTTTTAGATATTCCACGTGTGAAGGGTGTAATATTTAATATCAAATTTACCTTTTTGAAGATAGGTGATGTTACATGGGATTTTGGATTTAGCAGTGATACAAAATATACTGAAAGCACACTGCAAATCTAAGTTACACTTAGCAAAATAGAGCAATTGCCGTACGCAGCTCAATCACAATGCCAATGTGATTCCCGTTACTTCTCTCTTGAATATGCTCACCGTCATGACGCTGGGTGTCACCAGTAAGGCACACATGGGTTGGAGCCAGCTCAAGCCTGTTGCTCTCTTCAAAATTGTTTTGTTAAGTGTTTAGATTTTACAGTCTTGTCGTGGTTTTACCCCAGCTGGCAGCTGAGCACCACGCAGCCGCTCGCTCACTGCCCCCTGCCATCAGGATAGGGGACAGAATTGGAAGAGTGAAAGTGAGAAAACTCATGGGCTGACATAAAGACAGTTTAATAAGTAAAGCAAAAGCTGCGCGCACGAGCAAAGCAAACCAAGGAATTCACCACTTCCCATCGGCAGGCAGGTGTCATAGATCATATAAATAAATGACATATATGGTGGGGTTTTTCTGTGCCTGCCAATTAAACAAGTATACTGCAGGTGTTTATATCCCTGTAATGCGCAGGGGCTGCGGCCGCAGACTTTCTACGAACACAAGGTGAGACTTAGGTCCTGGCTCTTTGAGACAAAATTAATTATTACTGGGTTTCAGCAGCAGCTTTAAGTACCTCTGCAGAGATTGTGCCGCCATATTGAAGGTAACTGAAAAGAAAGACGATGCGGGCATTTAGTATTGGAATAGTCTGCAATATTCAATACTGTTGTGGTTCAACCCCAGTGGGTAACTAAGCACCGTGCAGCTGTTCGCTTACCCCTTTCTCCGCAAGGGAATGGGGAGGAGAACGGAAAAACACTTGTGGGTTGAGATAAAGAGAGTTTAATAGAATAACAAAGGATAATAATAATATTAATGATGATATTAATAATAACAGTAATATTATTATTAGTAGTAATATTAATAATAATGAAACAAGTGATGCACAAATGCAATTGCTCACCACATGCAGAAAAAACCCCAGCCCAATGCCCAGTCTGTTTCTCAGCAGCAATCCCACCTCCTGGCTAGCTTCCCCAGTTACATCTGGAGCATGATGTTATATGATAGGGAATGTCCCTTTTGCCAGTCTGGGTCAGCTGCCCTGGCTGTGCTCTCCCAGCTTCTTGTGCACCTGGCAGGGTGTGGGAAGCTGGAAAGTCCTTGACTGAGTGTAGACACTACAACTACCTGGCAACAACTAAAACATCAGTGTGTTACAACATTATTCTCATACTAAATCCAAAACCCAGCACTATACTGGCTACTAGAAAGAAAATTAACTGTATCTCAGCTGAAACCAGGACAGATACTAAAGGGAAAACTCAGGCTAAAATGTTTCACATTTCTCTTTCACAGTGGTGCAATGATTTAATATCATTCTAAATGGAGGAAAATGCCTTAAACTGTCATTGAGGTTGCTTAAATGTAGATACTTAATACTAGTGTTTTTGCAAGAGTTTTCATTGCTGCAGTGTGTGTAGAAGCCTCTAACTACAAATAGCACAGCAGTCTCTGTTTTCTCTTTTCGTTCCCCGCTCCTTTTTTTCTCTGTATAAGCAATGTTTGAGATGGTCAAGAGTGAGTGTGTTGTGTGTGAGGCCGAAGCACTCGGCACCGAAGGGAGATATAGCATGGTTAGCACCCCCACTTTTCACTTCTGCACTTCTGCTGATGGCCAGCAGATCCAAACAGGACTCGTTTAACCAAGGTCAGGTATTTCCAATGGGACGTCACTTCAAGCAAGCAGAATGTAGCATATGCATTACCTTAAATTTTTCCCTGCTTCCCAAATTAGTTATTTGAATATTCAAAGAAGCACTATACGTCCATCAGGACTCTAGTAGCACTCTCCATGCTAGATTTTTCTACCTCTGTACTTTCTGTACTGAGGATGGGGGTAGAAGGCTGAAGCGATGTCCAGAGTGCTTGCTGCCTCCCAGGGCAGAGAAGTGAGCACCTGCGAGTGTTGGGGCTGGGAGGATGGCGTAGAAAGTGAGAAGAAAAGCAACATAGTTATTCAGATTGAAGTTTCATGTTTGCTGTCGTTGTTCTGTCCTTTATAAAAAGCAGAAAACTCAGTTCGGTTTTCTGTGAGTAAGGGATTGAATTATAACAGAGATGGGGAACACGGGAAGATGACCTATCTGCATTCTTGGGAACTGTCACTGAGTGTTTGGATGTACTATGACGAGGGGGTTCCACGTTAAAAAGAGAAAAAAGGCACAATTTTTCTCTCCTTGTATCACATCTCTTTCTAGGTGTAGTTCTTGTAGAGTATCACATTTTACTATCAGGAGTAGCTCTGCCCTGTGTCCTGGTCAGTGCGAAGGGAGAACCGGCGGGTTGCTATTACAAGAACTCCAGTTGTGCCTGAGTGTTGGTTTTCTCCACGATACCTTTGTCCTTTCCATCATCTCACTTTCGTTTAATTGAATGTTACAGGATTAAGTGGAACTATTATAAGATGATTTTTTTTTTTCAAGTGATGATTTTCCTTTTCTCCTGAGTGATTTATTAATTAGAACATTAATTTTAAAAACTGCTTATGTTTAATTAACTCCATGTTTCAATGATTTATAAATGCTAATTGGCATACTCTTAACTTTTCACTCATGATGATAGCCACATTAATCCTTAATATCAAAATGTAAAGGAGATAATAAATCTGTGATAAAACAGATTATCAGTAACTTTACTTTATATGACAGTAGAGGACTACCCAGTCACATCGAGTTGTACAAAGCCTTCAACGTCATCAGCAGTCAGTAACTGAAAGCTTCTGAAGGATAACCGGGTTAAATAGCAGTGGATGGATCCACATCAACAACGTGCCGGTTTGATTTATGGTAATGCAAGTGCCATCAAGTAATCACCCGTGCCATGCAAATGCTAGTGACCATTCAGTGCCGCGGTGGCCCTGTGGTGCTCAGCCGAGTGTGGGACCCTTTGCATCGGCGCAAAGCAGGCACACGTCGCCGTGGTGCCCGGTGCGTTGGCGTTCCTTGTGCACGCTGCATGGCTAAACAGCAACAGTAGATCGGGAGCCTGGTACTAAGGGAAGGTGTCCATGTTCGTGCACAGGATCAGGATGGAGGGAAGGTTATATTAAAAGAGCAAACGATGTGTTTATAAAAAGGGTAGGGATTATAGGATAACAGCCATTAGCAACCTTTCATAGGGAGAGTTTATCACATTAAAAACAGATGCATCAACAGGAAGAAAGCGATGTATGGTTTAGAAGGTAATGTTTAGGTTTTATGAAAATTAAACATACAAAATTTTTGTTTTAAGGCCTCTGCAAACCACTCCTATCCCACTCCTAGAACTCTACTAATCACTCCATGTCAATTATGAAATTTAAATATTTAGATCAATAGATTTGACTTTCATACCTCTCCCCACTCCTTTTTTTGTATTTATGGTTAATAATAAAAGTTTTGCTAAATCCCTCCAAAAAAAAACCTGCAGGCTGAAAGATCTGGAGACGTTCTTGTTCTAATTCATGTTAGTCCAATTTTGAGACTTTAAAAGCCTTTGGAGAACTGATTGTCTGTATTCCACCTACACTAAATGTATGTAACCTCAGGGGGACAGTGAAGAATGCTGCTTGGGGGTACGTGGCCCATCTGCTGGTGGCTGCGTTACAGAGTGGGCAGCACCCACTCTGCCACCATTCGTGGCAATGAAACAAGGGTAAAATCAGTAGCAATTCTTACTTGTTTACAGTGGAGCCATGGTGAATTCATAGATATTATTTTTCTTCTCTCCTCATTCTCATTCTCCTGAGCTCCCTTTCCTCTTTTCCCTTTCTCTTTCCTAAACTGTGAGCCTCCTTTTCAACTTCAACTTGCCGTCTTTCAATTTTCCTTTCGGATCACACATCATCCTCTTGCCCTTTCAGCTGCTTGTACCTTTGTTTTCTGGCTTTCAAAAATCTTCCCCTGCCTGTATTTTTATTTTTATAACTCTTATGCTTCTCCCAGCTCACCTTCTCCACTTTTGAGACTTCTGTGCTTTTCCTTTTTCACGTTTTAAGTTCAGCGTTTCTGTCACGGGTGTGATCATTCAATCAACTGGTTAAAATTGAGAAGGTACTATGTAGTTAGTAAATAAACTGTACGTTTGCTACATTCTCCGCATGCCCACTATCTCAGTTTATAATTTCCTCAGCTGTACTCATTCAAAGTTAGTGAAGGAATAGTTTAAGCAACAGCTTAACGTGATGATTGTCGGTTTGATATTCATGTTGTATCACTTAGTTTGAAAGCTGCTTGTGTCAGTGTCATTGCTCCTATCTGATTGAATTAATTGAATTCTTAGAACTTGACACTGGCATCTTCATTATCTGAGAGAAGCTTACTCCCAATTAAGCTTACTCTGAGAGAAGCTTACTGCCTCTCTGCAGAGGTTGAATTTTGACTTTCAGTAAGTCGGAAGATAAAATAAACCAAACCCCAACCCACTTTATTAACACTTACTCATCTAAATGTCTTCATATTTTTGTTTAATGCTGTGATCTATTGCTTTCATTCTATCTTTTGCTTTATGGATAAACCGTAATGATTAGTTAATTCAATCTTATGCTTACTCTGGTAAGAAAGCAATTAAAGAAAGCAGTTACTGAAACCTCATTTTGACTTTAAAAAATCAGGAGGAAAAAGTTCCTGTCTGTCTAGGGCTGTGCAGATTCTCTTAACTTGGTTAACTTCCTCACTCAGGTTCCCAGTCACATTTGTTTATCTTCCAGGTGAGCCTAAACACTGTAAGAAGTCAGAAGATTCAGTAAAAGCCACTGAGAAAGAAGCACTGATACAGAACTAGATTTGCTATTTCTTAAAAGCTTCTGACATTTCAGGCAGGACAGGTAATTTTGTCATTTCTTTCTTATAATGGGGATAGGTTTATACCATAAAGTGCTATTATTATCCTCTTTGTTGTATTCCAGTTGTGGGTTTATTACAAAATTTTGAAATGGGGACACCATACACCCCACTTTCTCTGTCCCCTTAAAAGCCGTTCAGTATAAAGAAGGGCAAAACAGTAGTTTTACATCTCTGGATCCTTGATATCAGACTAAGAGATCATGCAATAAAACATCCTCAATTCATGTATATTAAATACTGGAAGCAGCAGTATTAAAAATCTATTGTTTATGGATTTTCATTTGACCTTTGTTGCAGGAGAAAAGAAGGACTCTAGCTGTTCCTACCTACCCCGTGCTCTCAGAGGCTGTTATCTGTCAACTTGTTCTTGGACCATCCTGTTTCTGTGGAGAGTGATTGGACAAAACAATCAAAAGTGTAAAATGTAAAACCCTGAGCTGGTAACTCAAGGCACTTAACTCGCGAGATTTCAGTTGTGTTTGTTGTTGCTATTTCCTCTTCTATTCTGCTTTCTTACACTAGCCAAAATAATATTTTCAGCCAAAGTTGGACTTCGCTTTATTGCATCACTGACACCAGACACTTCCAGTTAACCATGAGACATGTGAAAATACGACATTTGTCATCTGCCCGGGGTTGCTGTTACGTGTCACTGCTACTGGCGTCCAATGGAAATGGAAAGTCAAAATGAAACGTTGTTATAGATACTTGTTCATGCAACCACGCTGCATGCAACATAAAAGTCCTACTTGTTAGCTTTCTTAAAATACCTGGAAATAAAAATACATAGACCGTACAGGGAAGTTGTAGAGTTACACTGACCAGCCCGTGTAGATGATGATTCTTCCCCACTGCAGTGGCTGCCATATGGAGAGAACTGGTGCTTAACAAATCAGTATTCGAAAAATCTCTTTAAATTTAATAAAATAGCATCCAGTATTAAAGATTAAAACATTCTCAGTCCTTTAGTATTTTTGAAGACCTCAGCAATGGTGTCAGCCCTACCGGGAAGCTGGTGCTTATTGTTTTGTAGGGTGGAAGAGACAGCGACAGGACTACATGGAAATTGCTTCACTTCGCAAAATATCGTGTTGCCTCTTAGACAGAACTGGAAGGTGACACTGAGGCCTTATGTCACGGTTTGTCTCAAATGCAAAGGTGACGATGTGGATCCTGCAAAATCCTCGCTAGTGTTTGTTTCATTAAAGAAAACACCAGACCATCTTTCTCTGAGAGGCAGCAAAAACGGAGCACACAGGCAGTTACCTCTGCAAGAAGCCTCAGAATGAGCCCTCCAGCCCGAACTGTGCCCAGAAAGAGACTCCATTTTCATCTCCGCTTCCCTCGAGCTGCACGAGACCCCTCCTGGCTCGCCCGGGCGTCCCACACAGCTGCAGCCAACCTCATTCCCCTCTGCTGGAACCTGCCAGGAAACCTCCATGCTCCCCTTGGCGTTGTAGGCGCTCGGGTGGCTCGGGTCGCTGCACTCCCAGTTCTCCTTTTTGGACCCTGTAGTTATTACCTCACTGACCAAAAAGTCTTTTTTAATCAGCCATGGTCTGCTCTGAAGAGGACTGGTGGGGGCGATGGCACTCCCCTCTATGCAGAGGCAGAGGGATGATTGAGACCTATGTCCGATTCATCTGCTGCTTCAGGGATCTAACCAGAGCTCAACAGGCATCAGGCTCAACCTCAACAAGGGCACACTTTGTCCCGCTTGAACAAGGAATCGTTAAACCATCACCCTGGACTGAGGGACCCTTAGAAGTCCATACCTGTTGACTGTCTATTTTCTGACAGCGGAGGAATCGAAATTGAGCTGGGAACAGTGCGAGCTCCGAGCCCTGGGACAAGGGCATGCCAAAAGGTGGAATTCCTGTCATTGAATATGTAAGCCATACACATGCTATGCATAAGTAGTGTGCATAGTTTTAACTTAAGAAATGTTTGTGCATATAGGATGTAAAAAGTGCATTCAAATTGTTTTGTGTATCTGGTCCAGGGCTTGTATTTAGCATGGACAAATTTCTGTACAGTGCAGTTAACAAATGAAATTGTATCATATATGTTATAATGCAATTGATATTTTTTGCTAAGAGTTAAGGATTTATATATTCTCTGCTAGTGTTTGAGCAAATCATTAGTAGCCTGGACCACTCCATGCACCTTTGCATCCTTTTTGGGAATGTTGGACTCCATTTTTTTTTTTTTTTTTTCTTCTTTATAATAAATTGTAAACCATCTTATGGCTTCTTACTGTCATTATGACAAGAGAAGAAAGGTAACGGTCATATCAGAGTTTTTTAAAATGTAAATTGCCATATACTATGGCAGTGGAAAATCTTGTTTAAGAGCTGAGAACTTAGGACCTTATTTCAGATACATTGAGCATCTGCCGTTCCTACTAAATTTGAAAAGAACAAAAGATGACTGATATCTTTAAAACAAGGCCAGTTAGGTATTTGTTTGTTACAGAGTGTTCTTCAACTATGTACTTTATGATTCGCTGAGACTGAAAGTCTGGAGCAATCAGAATTTAATGTTTTTATTATATTCTCAATTTCAGACTTTTACCATAGTTGACTTTTTTCTGCGTCTCTATCCCATCGTGATTTATGTACTCTGCAAGATTTTTTTCCTGAAAATACAAGCAGAAATTGTAACAGATTCTGCAGAGTACTCAGAGCATCCTGTGGGGCTCTCAGTGTCCTGCTGTTATAGCCGGCACCAAGATCTCCCCCTGCAGAAACTAGAAGGAGCTCCTGATCTCACAGGAGGCACTCATTCCCTGCAGAACTCATTCATTAATATAGAAATGTGATTTGTGTATAAATAATCCTATTTGCTCATTTTTATTCAGTTTTAATCACTGTGGTAGATCTTACTGAAATACAAGAAGAGTCCTTAGTTTTTCTTTAATGCCAACTGATGCTCGCTCTTCTTCCTTTTTTCTTAGCAAGTTTTTACCTGGATATGACCCAAAGCTTAGTGTGTTGTTTGGAGGAGGAGAAATTTTCTTTGGTGGAGAAGACTGATACAGGCAACACGTGTTGGTTAAGGCTTTGACCTTGGGTGAAATTCGCGTTTGGATGGCAGAAAGGCTTCCTGAGAGAGCCTCTCCCTGGACAATAGTTTGTCTCTGAAACCTGTAAGGCTGCGCTACCAAAACACTGCATGAGGCCATAAGAAATGGTGTTTGTATACGCATCTCTCCCACAGCATTATGGGCATGTACCCCTGCATTGAGCACACTGAGGAGCTGCAGCTATAGATTAGCCCTCAAGAGTTTTTATTTTGTATCTTGAGATACCTGACAGATATATTATGTAATATTGTTATGGGTTATGATCTAGCCAGTATTTTTTTTATTTAATTTTCAACAAGGCAATCTACAAATGTGTGTTTTTATTCTGCTGTATTTGTCCGTATTTCCTATGATGATATTCCCAAATAAATTTGATTTGAGGGCAAGGATCGTAAAGCTCCTGACTGTTAGTTACAGATGTGCTTTCCTGAAGCGTGTTTGCTCATTTGTGTGCTTGTCTTTGAAAAGTGACAGAGCATAAATGGTTGTTTCCAAACCTTTCACCCGCTTGTGACTCCACGCTTTTTCCCTAACTGTGCCAATTTGCCATACAAGCTGGCTCACATCCTCACAGCACTCTTGAAGACAATTTCTTTAAGTGAGTCTTGCAGCCTTAGCCTTTACTGCTAAAATAGCCTTCACGTGAATAAAACAATAAGTAGTAGAACATTTTTTACTCGCAAGACTTCTTACCGTGGGATGGTATTGATGGAATCGCTAGGACTGGCAACAGCTCTTCAGGAAGGGTATGACTTTCAGAGGCACCTCCATGGCATGGTATAAATTTAATCAGCAAGTTCAGTGGAGCAGGGAGTAAACAGGGCCCCTTCCTACTCAGACTGGAAATGAATGGAAAGAATCCCATTTACCTAGATGTGTATCAAATCCTAATGAGGTACATGATCGATATAAATCAAGATGACTACTTTATATCACATTCTTTGCAGTGCCTTTTTCCCAGATGATAGCCCAGCTACATGCACAAAGGACCTTCTTCTATTGTATATATGCCAAAAGTCAAACAAGCCACTACTGTGACCAAAATAACTTCAAATTAACAAATAAATCAAGATCCCCACTGGTAAGTGGCTAAACGTATATTTTAAACAGACTATACAGTTATTACATGAGAAAGAACAACATATAAGTACGACTAACATTCTTCAACAGCAACTGAGAGAGATTTAAATTTACAATAGTTTAACAGACAAAGGTTTGTCTGAGAGGGGGCTCCATCCACTTTTAAATAATTCTTTCAAAAACCGCATCCTTGAAAACTGGCATGGAAAGATAAGTGGAAATAATGTTTAATACTACGAGGAAAAGAAAGTGTCCTCTGTCAAACACAACATGCAAACATTTATCCCACTTCCCTGGGATAATTTTACTTTCCTGACCATTTAATTATTTAATGGGTCTCTAGAGACCCCTTTTCCATGTCCCAGGGCAAACATTCAGAAGTTTTATCAAACTGTAAATGTCTAAGTAGTCCCTTGGGAACAAAGCAGCAAGTCATAATCGGAGTTATGAATGTGAAAAATCTCTTATAAAACCTGGGATTTTAACTGGTTTGGGCTGAACTTTGCTGCAAAATACTTCCCGTGTGCTTAGGCGAGTCCTTTGCTCATAGTCTTTTTGTGAGAACTGTTGGAGAACTTTCCATTGGCTGAGTTTGGATAGATAATATCTTAACCAAATATGCTTTCTGGACAAGTTACATAATATATGAACTTTAAAATGATGAGCTTTATGCATTTGTAATATCCTGTATAGATCTCTATTACAAACCTGAAGTAATATAAAATTATCTATAAATAGAGTGGTCAAAATCAAAATGGTAGGTACAATCTGGG